TTAAAGGGTAAGAGGTTAAATGTCAGGAGCCATTTTCTTTTTGTTGGGGAGTGTGTGACGCCCACAAGTGTATGGTCACAATTGTAATTTTGTTGTGAATTGTTTTTGATGTAAAAGACCTGATTTTATGGTGGTATTGCACTTTTCATTTAGCGTTATGGACAATGTAATTGCGTGGCATTGCCACAAGGGGAGATAGTGGTGAGTGCGATAGGCTGTTGCAACGCGTCTCGGCCTCAGACGAGGAAGAGCCTGCAGACCGAACGCAACTGATGTCTCCTGTCTCTGCATTTCTGTTAAAAAAAACAGTTTAAAAACAGACCCCATCGAAGGCCTGTAACGCTTGTTTTCTTGAGTCACTTTATTTTCCTTCATGTAGGAAATATTTTTTCCCCAGAGAAAGCAAACATTTTGTCAAGATCTGCAGGCTGCAGATGATGTGAAACTGAATGAGGGCCCCAATGCAGGAGACACTGACAGGCAGGAACAAGTTAATATAAAGTGAGCTTTCTATTAACACTGATCGTAAAGGTATAAAATAAGAGAAACCAAAATTGAACAAATTAAACTGGGAAATACGAGGAAACATGGAATCTAAACGACAGGAGGGCAGCTGTGGAAACACTCAGACTACAGGGGGGATAATATATAATAATATAGCCTATACACAAGGGGAATATTGAACACTTTAAATTCCACACTTTAAAAACAAAACACTGGGTCAAAATCCAGATCCATGAAACATTTATTGCTACATATTTCATGATGCAAATGATGCATGAAAATAATTCGGAGCTAATTTGCTTTCGCGTAGCAATTACACTGATATTAAATATAGAGACACCAAAGGAGATGAATCAGTGAGTTTAATCTCGGAGCTTTTCAAAAATCACGACGCAAACAACACAGACAATATTTTAGCTTTACCAAAGACGATGAGCTTAACATGCAAATGTACTGATGGTAATTCTATATTTTTATTCTATTCAAAATGGACATACAGTGTGTTCTTACCAACAGCTTACTTTAACACAGTTAATATTCTGACATCTCCAGTGAATCCTCGAGGTCACTGACTAGAATCCACTCCAGCTAAAGGAAGCCAGTGTACCACTTACCACAACGCAAAAGCTGACCCAGGCAGAGAATCAAACTGGACCTCCAAACCGAGAGCAGGAAACAACTCATCATGAACCTTCAGCTTCAGGCTCAGCACTTTACGTCCTCGGCATAGCCTCTGTGATCAAGTTCTTAGTCTGTGTGAAAATCTGCCTGTGTCTTTTCACACTTGTTAAAGTGGTTTATGTTTCCTGTCGGTGACCTAGAGCAAGAGGAAGTCTGAGATATTTCCTGCATACTGCACATTATTCATGACTTTTGTGTATGTGTAGAGGTGGATTGGTGGAGATCAGTAACATCGCTCGTTTTTTTTCCATCCTCGATCGAAACATTGGATGGTTACACGCGTGGTTAGACAACCTTAAGCCGAGCGGGCTCATAAGTGGGTCACAACCCGTTCATTCTGTTCATTTCTATGTAGCGTTTTCAGAGGGAGAAACGTTTCGTCACTCACCCAAGCGACTTCTTCAGTCTCAACTTTTGCATAATGACTGAAACTTGGTGCTAGTTTCAGTCATTGTGCAGAGCTATACTGTTTACAAGGTTGGGGGGAAACCTGCAGTCAGCTGCGACTGAGATGAGACTTCCAGATGAACGGAATGAACTTTTTGGGAAAACATATGTAACTTTTCGATTATTCATCGACCTCCTTTAAAATATATTTTCATAGCATGGTCATATTGTTGCATAGGCGACTTGTGAGATAACGTGGTTGCGGTCAAGTTGCGTTGCGTAGAAACGGTCCCCATCTGAGTTTGACCCAGTTTTTGCAAACAGTGATAATTTGAATGCGTCTGTTTGACCATTCCTGTAGATTAATGACGCAATATTGCCATCTGGTGGAGACCAGAAAGACGTACAGTTCTACACAGTCAAATCAGCGTTTCAACATTTAGACTGTTTAAACATGGTGGAAAACGTTTGATATAATAGAGACAAGCTAAGAAAGAGAAGGGGTAAACATTTTATCAAGTTCATACAAACAAGAAAATTTAATGATGTATGCAGAAGAAATACAGAAATACACATTAAAGAAGCCCATAAGTGATATTTCAATCCAGAATGACTATTGTGAATTCAAAAACAGTGGGGGGAAATGATGCCATGATGTGGCTTATTAACAACTAATAAAGTATTTTGTTATAATCTACACTCATCCATCACTTTGTTAGGTGCATTACTGTGCACAAGTTTTAAAACACCCCTCATTTCTTTAACAACATCCCAAAGTGGCCAATATTAAGCTGATGGTTGTTGTGGTATATACTGGAAAATGACAGATAGGTGCAACAAGGTATTCATGTGCAAAGATAAATGGTAATATGGTATTCAAGGTCATAAATAGAGTTCTGCCTTTTTCTCCATTCTGTATCAAGATGATCCCACACTGCTTTAGTAATGTACAGGTCTGGGCTTTGGGGAGGCCAGTCCATGACTTTTACTGCATTGACAGTGAACTTTTTGTTCATAATTCCATCAATTTTAACAATTTTAGATTCCCAACACCACTGGCTGAAATTCAGCCCCAAAAACTCCACAATGTTTTACAGATGTGTGTAATGACACATGTATAACACTTACTGTTTTACAGCTTTTAACCGAAAATTTCAAATTTGGAGTCATCACTTTATATGACATGTTGCAACTGATTTTCAGTTCAGTTCTTGTGTAATTTGAAATATCTCAGCCTTTTCTCCCTGTTTCCTTCCCTTAAGAATGGCTTCTTGACATCCACCCTTCAAAGATACCATTTCTGATGGTGTTTCAATGAACAGTAGATGACCAGGTTGAAGGGCCAGATACATTTTTCAGGTTTTGTGGCAGGTCCTCCAGGTCCTCACCCCTGGACTTTCTTCTTGTTAAGATACGATCTTCAAATAAGGTTCATTTGTGTCGCAAGTTTTAGTCTTGTCCAGTTTTCCCTAAAAGTTTTAAAGACATACTACACAATATGGTGAGATATGGTATATGGTATATGATATGGCATATGATATCTCTTTTAGAATCACTTTGTTGGAGCAAAAACAAAATTTTATGCCTGTTAAAAGATGTTGTCTTCAACTAAAGCAAATGGGGACAAATAAAGCATTGTTGTGTAGACACAACACTGATTGAAGTTCCTTTTTTTAATGCTTCAGTGATTCATTGAAGTCAAGTGGCTCAACAAACTTGTCAGAAGTGCTCTGAAAATGGTCAGATACAAAGACTGGGCTAAAATGAGTGGAAAAACATCAACATGTTGAAAAAAAAGGAGAAAAAAACTTTTAAAGAGCTGAAGAAGGACTATATAACTATTGCTTAAAAATACTTGAACAAACAAACAAACTATGAACAAACCAAACAAATCAGAATGAGAAAAAATATGATCTGAGTAACTTTGAACATGGTTATAGTGTTTCAGAAACTGCTAATCTGTTGGGATTTTGTCACAAAATCATCTCTAGCATTTACAAAGAATGGTCAGAAAACGAGAAGAGATCCAGTGAGACATCAACCACACATTTTTTGTATGTGAAAATGTATTTTTTGATGGCAGGGGTCAGAGGAGAATGTCAGACCTGCTTTGAACTGACAGGAACATTTCGTTACAACCAAAATAGGCATAAGAGCAACTTGAACGCATAACATATCAAACGTGTCAAGGTTCCACTTCTGTCAGTGAAGAACAGGAAACTGAGTCTAGAGTTTACAAAGACTGAAGATGGGGAAAAAATGCTGTCTGGTCTGATGAGTCTGCTGGTAGCTAGAATCTGGCATAAACAACATGAAAAGATGGGTTTATCCTACCTTGTATCAACGGTTTACACTGCTGGAGGTGCGATGATGCAGGAGAGATTTTCTTGGGACAGTTTGGCCCCTTTACTACCAAATAAACATCATTTAAATGTTGTAGCCTACCTGAGTATTGCTGCTGAACATGTCCATACCTTCATGACCACAATGTGACCATCTTGTGATAGCTGCTTCTAACAGGATAGTGCCATCATGTCAGTATGGACCAAAATTTCTGATGAATGTTTCCAGCACCTTGTTGAATCTACAGGAAGAATCAAGGCAGTTATGAAGGCAGAGAGGAGGGCCAACCCAGAATGAGCAAAATGCATCTAATAGAGTTGCCAGTGAGTTTATCTTACTACTTTGCATTCGAATGACTGCACAATACCAATACATAAAATGTATATTGGAGGGTAGAGTTCTGCCTTTTTATTGTCAATACTAATTAAGGACAAAAACATAAAACAATGTGGGGTTTTTTGTTTTGTTTTTCTGCTTTTTGCTGTGTTTACTGAGACACTTTTACCGTCTCAGGCTTCTAAATCTGGTAAAATGTCACAATCTAAGGCTCCTCTTCTGATGAATCACAAACTTACGCAACCACGGAGTTCTTTAGACTAGCATACGTCAAAATGGTCGTGAATGAATGCCTCTAGGGGTTTGAGGGACTTTCTCACGTATGGGAAGCACGTCATCTTTCATGTTTCCCAGCATGATACAACCTGCTGGTTTAGATATGAAAAGGTAGCCTTCTAGTTAAACTTGGACTTATGGCGCCAGTGTGATGGCGTGATGCAAGAAAACTCAAGATGAGGAGTTCACAGGAGCGTTCCGCTTATGTTTGAGATGAAATACTTTTATCCCACCTAGGTTAAGCTGCTGAGCAGACTTCTTTCTCTTTTTTCTTTTTTCTTTTTTTTGCAGTCATCTTTTTCATAGAAGAGACCTGCCATCATTGTCTGTGATAAAAAACAAAACAAAGAAAGGCAAAAAAAAACTGTCTAGCTTAGAGAGAAATTTACTCAGCTGAAGACGAAGGGGAAGTGTTATGCATACGCATGTCCCTTACAGAACAGGAATAGGAAGTATGAAGAAGACAGGAAAAAACACAAATCCACTTCTCAAAGCAAAAGAACTGCTGCAAGCGTAAACCACACATGTTTGTTCACTTTCTATTTAGGCTGCGTGTGCAGGTGTTTCTGAAGGTGGCTGCATGCTGCTCTTCTGCAGAAAGGGAGTTTTGAAGCTCTGCTGGTTTGAAAGATGAGTGACACACTGGAGAGGACTACAGACTGTCCTTTGCCGCTTCCCGCTGAGGAGTCCAACGTGAACGAGGAGAAAGGGAATGTAACAGGACCAAGTGAGTTACGTTGGGAAGATGGAGGTCTGCCCATGGAGCTCCAGAAAGGGATGGAAACCCTACGAGTGAACAGAGAATTGACTGATGTGACACTGCGCGTTCAGGGTCATGACTTCGCTTGCCATAGAGCGATTCTGGCGGCTGCAAGTCACTACTTCAGGTAAATCATCATCTGGTCTTAACTGTGTCGTGATCTCGGGCCTACTTGTTTTACTCACAAATTATGGCCGGTCTCTACAGGGCAATGTTTTGCAGCGGTCTCAAGGAGAGTCATGAGGAACGTGTGGAAATGAAAGGTTTGGACAGCGGGACGATGCACTGTCTCTTGGAGTATACCTACACCAGCCGAGCTCTCCTCACACACTCGAATGTCCAGAGAATACTCGAGGCTGCCAGTCAGTTTCAGGTAAATCAGCTTAACTGATCTTTGTTGCTCAATCAGGGTTTTTTTTGCAAAATCATTGTCTGGTGCCAGGTCATTGACATTTTTAACACCAATGTAAAGATGTAGTGAAATCAAACAGCGGAGGCAAAAAAGTTCTACAAATCGAGGTGTGAATTTAGACTTTAAAGACCAAGTGAACCATTTTTTACAAAGACATTTGACCTTAACATGTTTTTCACATAAAGGCAGCACAGCTTGAATTTAAGTCCATAAAATAAATCAACCATAAAGTTTATAATTAATCTGACTGAAAGTTGTTTTAGTCGAGTTTAACTTGAAAAAGGCTTTTGGCAGCAAACGATCTCTTTCAATGAATTTTTAAACCATCAACACCATCGGTTCATACAAACTTTTTTATATCTGTTACATTTTAACCACCTGCATGTAAAGTCAGTTGGAACAAATAGGCCATCAAAGGAATGAAGACGCCTCGTGCTGAGTTAGCAGCAGAAAGCAAACCATTTATTTCTAATCGGGATGATGGATTTGGTGTTGTGATGTGGAACTGTAATTAAATTTTTGAAACTGCTATCAGCTTCTTACTTCAGTTTTTTCCTTGCGTAAAGGGAACAAACACATGATTGAATGAGAAATTGGTTTTGCTAAGAGGGAAGTGAAAGTTGGTCAGTTGTTTACACTCAGGATCATTTTTCCATAAGGGCTTAAATTAACTACACAGCTGTGCCACACTGCAGAGGAGGCAGGTGTTTGTGTTTGTGTGCTTCTATTTTTGCAAAAATGCTTTGGGTGTTAAATTTTGATGATAATTTCTTCAGGCACTCTTGCTGGATTGTCAGCGTAACTAAGAAGCAAGGTTAAGATCACGTTAAGAGTTAGGGTTAAGATTATCGTATGAGGCTAAATTTTATTTTATTTTATATCCTTAAAAAAACTAATCAGGTATCTCATTTTATACTGGCTTTGTGAAAGAGCTTTGTGAATGCTTTTGCTGCAAGTGATAGATAAAAATATCCACAGCGAATCTGTTGAATTTCAAACGCAGGTTTTCAAAAGCTTATATAAATTCAGGCTATGGCAATTAGATAAGCAAAGTGGGCACCGGGGAAAACTGTGGGCCTCTTTAGTCCAAAATTCTATTACTGTCCACTGTTGGATTGTTTTCTTGCTGCAAATAAGAAAACAGTTGTTTGGTCTGACGCTGACAGACGTCTGAGGACTCACTGCATACAAATGTTTGACTGTGTTATACTTTAGAAGGCATTTTTTTGCAGAAAAAGTCCCCCATCGCTTACAAAGGAAGTGCACTGGGACAGAATTGATTTACAGCCAGTTTACCAACAAGAAAATTCTAAGCCCTTAAAATCCAACTATAGCTGTAATTGCCAATTTGGAGCAGCTTAATCAGCTACAAATAGCTTTAACCGATGCCTTTGTTCTTTTTGTCTCTTTAGTTCCTTCGTGTGGTAGATGCATGCTCTAGCTTTCTCAGCAAGTCTATGCAGCTAGACACCTGTATTGGCATCTTAAATCTGGCTGACAGACATGCCCTGTCAGCCCTGCGCGCCAGAGCTCAGGACTATATTACTACTCAATTCTCTCAAGTGGTCCAGCAGCAGGACTTCCTGGAGCTGCCAGTGGAATCTCTGGAGACTATCCTGCAGAGGGATGACCTGGATGTGAAATGTGAGGAGTGTGTTTTTGAAGCACTCATGCACTGGGTGAGAGCCCGGCAGGATGAACGCTATCCCTCACTGGCCAGGTTGCTTACGCACGTACGGTTGCCGCTGCTGGAGCCGGCATACTTTGTTGAGAAAGTGGAGTCAGATGAGCTGATACGACGGTGCAGCGAAGCTTTTCCTTTGTTGCAAGAGTCCCGCATTTATCATCTCTCTGGCAGGGAGGTCAGTATAAACTGCTGGGCATATTGTGTTTTATTGTTGTTAATCACTGTTTGTCTCATGTCCAAGTTTCATATATGTTTGACCTTTTTAACAGGTGGTCTCAGAACGAACCAAACCACGTGTGCAGCACTTTCTGTCAGAAGTATTCTTGATCATTGGAGGCTGCACCAAAGACGAACGCTTCATTTCCACTGTCACATGTTTGGACCCTCTCAGACGCAGCCGCCTGGAGGTCGCCAGGATGCCAATGACAGAGTTAGAGGACGAGTCCCAAAATAGAAAATGGGTGGAATTTGCTTGTGTCACTTTCCACAATGAAGTATACATATCTGGTGAGTGAACATATTCTTTTTTTCATAGAAAGGCTTCACTTGTGAAATTGTGACGATTGCTCCTTGTTGTTATTACCCGTGAAGTGTGCACTTCACTGGTATTCAAATGTAATGAGAATTTAGGAATTTATAGTATGAACAAAACAAAACAACAGGAAGTCGTGACATTATTTCTGCTCTAACAGTTGCTGTGGTTTTAGGTGTTTCCCAACGCAGGAACTGACAGTTCTAGTTAAGTGGAACACGCAGACTGTAAATGCTATGACTAGCACGCAGGATTTCTCCATCTTTAAACAGCATGATAACTTATGCAGAGTTATTACTAAAGACTTGGTGATATGTCAGTATTTTGGAATGAATGCAATATTTGTACAGATAATCACAGTTGTCTCTAATGGTCTTGTTGCTGTAGGAGGTAAGGAGACACAGCATGATGTCTGGAAATACAATGGTGCCCTGGACAAGTGGATCCAAATCGAGCCCCTGTCGACTGGGCGCTGGAGACACAAGATGGCAGTTCATTGTGGGAAAGTGTACGCACTGGGAGGGTTTGATGGAGTTCAGAGGCTTTCTAGTGTTGAGGCCTATGATCCCTTTCATAATCGCTGGATGCAGGTAAACACAATATATGTACTGTATATATGTGAAGGGTATAGTTTGTAGTTCCTAATAAAAAGTAAGCAAAAAGGAATTACCAACAACTTCAACCTGCGCAGCATTTTAATGCATTTTAAAAGCATTTTAATTCATGTTTTCAAATCTGTTTTATTTGGACAGTCTTGTTTTTATCATGTACTCTGGGTGTTGCTCCCAGTTTTCTGCACCACCATCTTCGATGAGCGATTTCTCATCTAATATATTCTTCTTTAACCTAGTGCAGTATATACAACTCCAGTTCCCCTCAAAAGTTGGGAAGGTGTGGAAAACATACATAAAAACAGAATTTGATTTTTTGCAACTCTCATAATAACACGTTTTATTCACAACAGAACACATAAAACATATTGCATGTTTAAACTTATGACATGTAAGATCTTGAGATAAAAATAAAATTATTTGGAATTTCACAAAAGCAACATATTTGATGAAAGCAACGTGTTTTTAAAAAGTTGGGGCAAGGAGATTTGTGATTGTGTAGCATCTCCTCTTCTCTTTACATCAGTCTGTAAATGTCTGGGAACTGAGGACACCAGTGTTGGGATGTTAAGGAAAAAATTTTCCTCCACGCTTGTCTGATAGAGGGTTAAAGCTGCTAAACAGTGTAGGGTCTTCTTTGTCGTAATTTTCATTTCATAATCTGACAAATGTTTGCAGTTGCTAAAAGGTCTGGACTGCATTCAGGCCAGTTCAGCACACTGACTCTTCTACTGTGAACCCATGCTGCTGTAGGCTGCAGTTTAGCATTGTCTTGCTGAAATATGCAATAATTTCTGTGAGAAAAGGCTATCTGGAAGAGACACTTTGCTCTAAAACATGTGTCAATCTGTGTAAGCTGCCATTTCCATAGCCACTATTGCCCCCAGCATACCATCAGAGATGAAGGCTTTTGAACAGAGTGCTGATAAGTCAGAGGTCACAGCGCCCATATGTTCTAAAAAGAATTTCAAATTGGAATTTGTCTCTTCTATTTTCCATTTTGTTGCAAAATCTTCTTTCAGATTTACATTTTACAGCATTTGTGGACTTTTTAGATAACTGTTGCTCAAACTTAAAATAAACAAATATTTTTTGACAAAATAGTAAAATCTCTCAGTTTAAACATTAAAATATGGGTTTGTGCTATTTGTAAATCATTGCAATGCGTTTTTTTATTTACAATTTACATAGTGGCCCAGTTTTTTTAGAACTTAGGTTTTACTATACCTCACGTGTCACATAAGTTACTTATGTTACTTTCGAGAGTTCGGCTTTTCTGCTATTATCTGCATTTGTATTCTATGTGTTTTCTTTTCCTGTTCAGAAATTCCATCCCATTTAACTTTTGATCCTATGCCTGTTGCCTTCCTATTTTATTTACCTCAATAACTGACTTATCTCCAGCCTGAAAGTAAAGTTTTCAGTTTTGGACTTTCACCTGCCTGTGGTGTTCTATCATCAGTTGCAGCTAACATCATTTTTAAGTTAGCGTCTTTTGTTTAGATCTTTTAGCTTTTTAAATTGCCTTACTGTTTTGATTCAGACATACTTATATACGCCTCTTATTTACTGCAGGTGACACCTCTTGCAGTAGGTGTGAGCTCATTTGCTGCTGCAAGCTTTGACAGATGGATCTATGTGATTGGTGGTGGGCCGAATGGAAAGCTGGCCACCGATAGGGTCCAATGCTGGGAGCCAGGGACAGGCGGCTGGGAACTGAAAGCACCCATACCCATTGAAACTAAATGCACTAATGCTGTTACATTCAAGAACTGCATCTATGTAGTTGGTAAGCTGTCAAATCCCACTAAGTACATTTACTTACTTAATGTTAATGGTATTTATATGTAACTTTTAGAATATTGCAGTAACATTGACATGAGCCTTTTCCATCACGACTGCTTTTGGTTTTGATATATTTAATGTATTTTCAGACTTTTATTATGATTCTGCGTACTGATATAGTATATTAATTTGATATCTGTCCAATTCTCTTTGTGGTCTCAGGCGGTGCCATGCATGCCATGTACTGCTACTCTCCTCTATCTGATTCCTGGACCCTTGTGACTCGTCTGGGGGAGAGGGCAAGCTGTGCTATCGCTGCCTGTAACAACAAACTTTTCATCACTGGAGGAAGAGATAACAAAAACCAAGTCATCTCCACAGTGATGTGCTGGGATGTCGCCCGAGGGGTTTTGACAGAGGAGTGCGTTTTACCAATGGGAGTCTCGCACCATGGCAGTGTGACCCTCATGAAGTCCTACACACATATACACAGAATAACACCTGCCTCAGAGAGCCAATGACACAGGCGTCTGTGAACAGGACTTATTTTGGTGCTAAGAGTGGTTGTAGGATTATGCATGAAGAGTAAAAACATGTTCAAAGATAAGAAATATGTTTGGGTTTTTTTGCATGCATTACAATGTTTACTTTATCTTTGTTACCGTTTTGTAATATATTAATGACTATGATGTTTTGAAAACATTGCGTTTGTAGTTAAGCTTTCTCAGAAAAGTGTGGATTACAACGTCACAACAGGTCAAAATAAGTCTACAAACACAAAAACGAAAATTAAACATTTGCTAAATCATTATCTTATAAGTTTCTTATTAACTGCCAGAGAAATTTAAAGTTGCAAATGAAGGAAAGAGCAATGCAAAAGCAATTAAATTAACTTTTGGATTTTCCTTTTATGCTTTCAATTAGCAAACGAACTCTGAACTCTACACTTTAATGCTGATTTATTAAATGCAATGGTATTTGAACGCAACACAGGTTACCTGCGTATTAACAAATAAACTGACATGTCAAACAGAACCTGTAATCCATTTCCTTGTGAGTGCTGCCATCAAGTGGTGAAAAGTACTCATGTCGTTATTAAGAGTTTCACACTTTTTGTGAAAGTCAAAACAATGCGACTGTTAAGACACGAAAACAGTCAAAGACATATATTTTTAAAGACGAACTATTGGCCGTATTTATTTCCTGGTTCTTCTTTAACGGGCCCTGAAAACCACCTGCGTTTCATTGTCACCGTTGTCGCGCCAAGGTACCGGAAACATTTAGATGGGGTGGTGCTTGTCCTACCTTTACTCTGCACCTGCGTGTTGTTTTTGTGGGACTTCGCAGCCAGTCCAACTGCAGGTTTCGGTTTAGATGCAGGTGCTGTGAAGAGATTGGTAGGCTGTGGGCCAACACAGACTTGTTCGATAAGAAGAGACTGATTTAGCTGGCAGAAGAAAGTGAAAGTATCTCTAAATAAGGGACGGAGGCGACATTACTGCCTTTTCAGACGGTTTAGAAATGATTTATTGTTATTTCCTCGCCGTTTGGATCCTTACCTCCTCGACAGGTGAGTTTGAATAGCCGGAACTTGATAGGTTCGATACTTTTCTGTGTGTATGTATACTACTGGTGACCAGACCTCGTCACACAGGCCCGACTGAGGACACCGGGCAGAGATTAAACACGGTGTGCCACAACCACTTGTAATTTACAGTTTAACATCGTTTATACCGTGAAAAACAAGCTTCACAGGAATGTTGCTTACATTAATGTGTAGTTAAACACATTAACACAAAGGCCAGCTGCTTGCAAGTTGTAAAAGCAGCAATTGGCACTAAATCAGAGCAGTTAAACGCGAAGAAAACGTTTAAACGTTTAATTAGTATGCGATTTGGAGACTATGCGCACACTGATTTGTTCATACTGTATGCCATATTAAGTGTTCAACGCCCATGATCCAAACCTATTGAGAAAGGCGAGACTCAGGTATGGCTGCTATTTCCTACTGTTTTTTTTTTGAATGTTTATCTCCTGCCCAGGGTTGTTGTTTTTTTTTAAGATCGACTAGTCTGCAGGTATGAAACATTTTGGGCATAGAGATAACAAACGTCTGTGGAGTGACTGTGATTTGTGTAGCTAAAATTTGCTCCCACCCCCACTCCTGGTTACTATGTATTGAACTCAATTTTTTACAACTTGTTTTGTTTCTGACCTTCTGAAGTGAAAAATACACCAATACATTAATCACTGTGGAAATAGAAAGAGATACTTCTTAGTGTTTTTATGTTTATTGCAGTGGTTGATATATTGAGAATGTTAAGCTTAACGACCTCAATAGCCTCTCCTACCCCTGAATGCTTCACTGCTCCTTTAAATTGGATGTCATCACGTTTTCTGCATCTCAATCCTGAACTGAGAAAAACTGAGGATCTTGTGTTTGGCCTTAACAGCTTCTCTATGGAGGTCAGCAGTGGAGGTCCTAGCCTGTTTGGCACCGTGAACACTCCCTATGCGTCCCGTCCCTCCCCCCCCCCCCCCCCCCCCATACACACACACACACACACACACACACACACACACATATGAAGAGAGAGAGAGTATGCATAGTATGCAAACGGCTACCAATCAGCCATCATAATTTGTCATAAAATGAGAACAGGACAAATCAACAATTGACAATGACTAATTAATATTCAAATCTGTAATATAATGTATTGTTTGGAGTTTAGTCTGTTACTGTTACTATTTTTACCATTTCTTCTTGGAGCAGGTGTAACCCACATAATTTCCTTAGGGGTTATTAATAAAGTATTCTGATTCTGATTGTTTCAGGATGACCTGCCATCATCCAATGACACATCTGCTTACCTGTATCTTTTGCTCGTTTCTCCTCCTCTTCTTTTCTCTTTTTTCTAAACTGAGGACCTGATGGTTTTGAACTTTTCTTGTCCATCTTGGTTTTAATTTTGCACTCAAGTATGAACACCCATCCCTCAACCCGAGGATCACCACAACATAACCTAATAAACCTACACCTTAGTTCACAGATTAACTTTGTCTAGGGCTTATTTCTGAGGTTTTGCACAACCCAGGATTCAAATCATGAATACATAATGAGCTTGGATTTACAACACTATGAATGAAATGTTTTCTATTTGGAAGAAAGCCGTCCTCCCCTTTCGATGGGTTGTGTGTGAGACTTTAAAGCATCAAACTATAAATTATAAATTTTAAATTGTTATTGATACCTTTACCCCTAGTCCTAAAGTGTATATACTGTACTGTATGTAGCGGAGATGACAATAAAGTTTACTTTGACTTCAGCAGCGAGCAGGCGCACCGAGGCCTCTCACGCTCACTTTTTCGTATAGAATTTCGAAAAAAAACATCGGTGCAAATTATAAGTCTGTATCATAATGTCTGGTGTTTTCGTGTTTGTTGGTTTGTTTTTATTTTGTTTTATTTTGCGAGTTGGTTATTAGATACTGCTCCAGCCAGCCAGAGAATCCCCCTGCCCCGCCCTCTCCTCCCTGTGCTGCAAGCAGCAGGCGCACCTCGCAAACGAAGGGCGCCCTTACTCCCAGCAAATGGGCGATAGAAAACTGATCGGTGCCTATGCCATTCCCAGTATGCGCTGGCATGACATCGGGGCAGCATGAGTACGAGCAATTGTTTTTTGTTTTGTTTTGGGTTTTTTTTTTTGCCGATGTCCGTGATGCCGCCCCCCACCACGATGCCGCCCCGTGCAACCGCCCGTGTCGCCTGTATCAACCGCTAATGGAGGTCAGTCTTTAGATCAGTCCAGAACTTTGGTATTATTTTTGACCAGGATTTTAATTTTTTAAGTCTCACATATTGAAACCCATTCAGCCTCATTTCTTTCATTTAAGAAACATTAGACATTAAGCATTCCAGTATTAGTCTTTTAAAAGTTCCTGATTTCTTAAGCAAAAGTATTTTTGATCTTCCATTCTTATCTGGTGTCTGGTTTCGTTTACATTGACAGAGCAATCTTTACGGCACATAACACGTCCTTACATCTGTTTTTATAGATATGTCCATTTTTTTTAGCTTCCTTTCACTGTAAAATGTTTAGAAGTCAGCGTGTAAACTTTGTAAAGTTTACATGCTGACTTTTTTTTAATAATATTATTTAATAAATCTTGTTTAACTCTTTTAACAATTTATCTTTTGAACGCCATCATTGACTGATACTTCTAGTAAGTACTATTTAAAAACTTTCATTGAAAAGTATTAAATAAAATATTTCATCTAATAAAATGAGATTCAATTATATATGGATCATATAAAAGCATATAGAATTGTATTACACTGTACTAGCATGTTGGCGTATATTGCTGAAGTCTTGATACTGAGCTGTCACCATGCTCATAATAGTCTAAATTATTTGTATTTTGCGTCTTACTTCACTTTTCTGTTTTCTAGTTGCTGGAAAACAGAAAACACAATATGGACTCGTGGGTGAGACAGTCAACTTCAGGACAGATATCAGAGACCGCCTTGATGACATTCTGTGGAAACACAATGGGAATAAAGTGGTACAATTTGATGGCAAAGAGCAAATTGAATACAGTCAATTTCAAAAGAGGGTCACCCTCGACTGGGGCTCTGCAGACCTGGAAATCAACCAACTAACACACAGTGACAGTGGACAATATGAATTGGATGCGGGAAAGGAAAGTGGTGTTATTCGTCTTAACTTTGAATTGAAGGTCCTAGGTAAGTTCATTTTATACTACCTTTTTAATAACTAACAATGACATCCGTGTTCTATATGCTTGTGCGTTGCTATACTAACTCTAACCTATTGCAATAAATATTGTATACATGTGTTACACCCCGGCCTAGGCAACTGGCGTGCAACACAGGAAAAAAAAAAAATAAGGGGGAAAAAAAAAAAAAAAATACTACAGTTCTCCACAAAAATCCCAAAACGAAAGTATCGACAACTATTTACATCAAAGCAAAAATAAGACATTTATTTACATCACAACACCAAACTATTTACAACCGGGGGGGGAAGATCGCGACCATGACAAACTGAAACACAGGGCTTAAATACATAGAGGGAGCAATCAGGGAATGGACAACAGGAGGGAAACACAGCTGGGGCAAATCAGAACTGACGAGACAAGGAAGCGTAAACTGAAAACACTGAGATAAGACAGACTTTCAAAGTAAAGCAGGAAACACATTACAGTCACGCCTAAAACAAAACACAACACCGAATCGTAACAGTTCCCCCCACCCAAAAATCAAACATTTAAAACATGTAACCCCAAAGAAAATGTTTGATTCATGCCCAGCGCATACGGCACCGGCTGCTGTTCTGCAGGCGACGCTGATGGCTGGACGGGCCCCTTGGGTCCTCCAGTGGAAACGGAAGGCTGGAGCGGTCCCTCGGACCCTCCAGCGAAGGCAGACGAAGGCTGGAGCGGTCCCTCGGACCCTCCAGCGAAGACGACGAAGGCTGGAGCGGTCCCTCGGACCCTCCAGCGAAGACAAACGAAGGCTGGAGCGGTCCCTCGGACCCTCCAGCGAAGGCGGACGAAGGCTGGAGCGGTCCCTCGGACCCTCCAGCGAAGACAAACGAAGGCTGGAGCGGTCCCTCGGACCCTCCAGCGAAGGTGGACGAAGGCTGGAGCGGTCCCTCGGACCCTCCAGCGGTCCCTCGGACCCTCCAGCGAAGACGACGAAGGCTGGAGCGGTCCCTCGGACCCTCCAGCGGTCCCTCGGACCCTCCAGCGAAGACGACGAAGGCTGGAGCGGTCCCTCGGCCTAGGCAACCGGCGTGCAACACAGGAAAAATAAAAATAAGGGAAAAAAAACAAAAAAAACTACTACGGTTCTCCACAAAAATCCCAAAACGAAAGTATCGACAACTATTTACATCAAAGCAAAAATAAGACATTTATTTACATCAAAACACCAAACTATTTACAACCGGGGGGGGGGAACACAGGGCTTAAATACATAGAGGGAGCAATCAGGGAATGGACAACAGGAGGGAAACACAGCTGGGGCAAATCAGAACTGACGAGACAAGGAAGCGTAAACTGAACACACTGAGATAAGACAGACTTTCAACGTAAAGCAGGAAACACATTACAGTCACGCCTAAAACAAAACACTGACAACACCGAATCGTAACACATGACTGAAATGCATGCATAAAATGTACTTTTATTTAGGGCTGAACGATATATCGCATTTGCGATAATATCGCGACATGATCAAGTGCAATTTTCTAACCGCAAAGGCTGCGATTATACTGCGATTATAAGGCTGTCCAAATTACTACCATATCCCAGAATTCATAGCGCGGCCCAGCCAAACTCCAGTTTCCAGCAATGGCGGCCGCTACTAAGTTTTAAAATTACTCATACTAATCTTTCTGGGTCACAAAATAAACTTTTAACATATTTTCAGGTGAGAAAATAGTTGTGTAAACATCAAATATCTGCTCGGTTTATCAAGATATCCCATATTTGCAAAAGTGCTTCGACGTTTTCAGAGGCGTCTGCTACCCACCAGCTCGACAGCTAGCCGGGAGCTCGAGGGTTACTGATGCGGCCGAGTACGGCACAACTCCCGGCACATCATTTTCAGATCACCGCGGAGTTTCGCTGCTCGGGTTAAAAGTAATATATAAGTCACTTAGACAACCTAAAAATGTTATTGTTGGGCTTTTTTCAGTGTTTTGTTTGTTCGTGAGTAAATCGGTTTGGCTGAGATTAAAGTTATTAGATTAGATAAAATAAAACTTTATTAATCCCCCGGGTGGGTTCGTCCTTGGTTTTCACACAGCTGACTAAACGTCAAACAGAAAACTTATTAAACAGAAGTATGAGACAGTCGAGAATTTACGCCAGTGTCTGGTTATATTTTAGATAGCAAGAAGCAGACGGCCGAGTTTATTAAACTCCACCGAGACAGCGGTGACGCTAATCAGAACTAGCCTTCTGATTAGCTAATCAGAAGGCTAGACCGTCCAATTTCACGCCTTTAAACTTTAAAGGCGTGTTTGTGTGTGTGTTTATACAATTGCTATTATGTTTGCACTTTATGTGTAATGTTACTGACTGCAGAGATCAGTAAGATGTGTGTATTTTTCATTTATTAGTTTTATTTATTTAATATTATTTTTTAATTGAATGACTGTCTAGTAGTTCACAGATGTCGAAAAACTGAGTGTGGTAAAGCCACTGATTTCTTTTAATGTATATTTCTGCAATCTGCACATTGTACTGACTTTCATTTTAATGTTTACACCAGGGTTCCTTGTCAGCACTTTATGCTCAGATGTTTGTAAGCTAAAAATAAACTATTGTGTATGTTCAAATATACTGTTGTGATTGAAGAAGTTAAATAAAAATGTCAGTCATCAATTCATGCATCACCTCATGTCATCATAACAGAGGTCTGTCTTCCAGGAAAGAACAGTTTAAAATTAATGTAATATAGTATTGGCCATACTATATGATGTATTGCTTGTCTTTGTTTAATAATACAGAAGACAAATACCTTAAAAAATAATCGCATATCGCATCGCAATCGCAATATTGGGGCAAAAAATCGCAATTAGATTATTTTCCATAATCGTTCAGCCCTACTTTTATTACAGAAAAACTCCATGTTATGCAGCTACAAAATATTGGATCTCTTTGTGATTACAGTTGATATTTAATGCAGAACACTGATCAATAAAAATCATGGTTTATAAGTGTGCATTAAAGTGAAATTGCTCATATCTGTGGACATGTGTTTGTCTAACAGTGTAAATATGAAATCATATTATAGCCAAACAAATACGTCATAATGACAATTGGAGTAGTACTTCCAATTTCCTATTCAATATGAGCAACAAAAGCGCTTTTTTATTACGTTTTCTGTTACGCTTTCTATTAAGTCTCATTCACCCAACACACAATATATACATCAGTCAAACCAAACACTGCCCAGGAGCTAAAGCACTTAAAATGAAGCATAGTAGCAGCTTGGAAGGCCGGAGGAACTCTTGTTGCAGACTTGAGATTTTACTTTACTGGAATCTGGTTTAAAATCTTCATTGAATTTTGAGTGAAGGCAGTCAGAGTATGAAATGAAATTGTAGTTGATATGTGTACAAGGCTGAAAAAAAAAGCTTTCCAGAAGGTCAGTGCATTTTTTTTTTTTCGTTGAACAGATGAAACAGATCACTGGTGAATATATATTTTATTATTATTGTTTTTAATATTATTTAACATTTGAACTTGTGGATAAAAAAGTTTTTCTTTTATAATTTCCAAAAAAAAATGAAAAAACCCGAGTCACTTTTATAAAACAAACATCAGTGGTGTGGAGTAACAGGTAATTCTATATTGTACTGATTGTACATCACACATTTCTAATTAAACTATTCAACTGTTTTTTATACCTATTCTGGCAAATTATTAGTTCTATTTATAGCTACATTAAATTTTCAGCTGAACACCAGTTAGTTAACTCTGCTTCTGACTTTCATAACTGTAAAAAAATATGATACATATGCTTTTATTCTGAAGGATTATGAATGCTTTCTCTATTGTTGCATTGTACCTTAAGGATAAAAGCTCTTGGTGCTTCCACCAAAACGTCCCACAGCTCATCATGATAACAACAGCTTATCTCTTAATTAATCACTTATTGGGCATTTTATTCTACTCATATTTGGTTCAGAGAGACTCTGCCCTTTAGAAAGCTAGTTAGTTACTTGCTAAGCAGCCTAACACCATATATACTTAACCTACATTGGATTGTAATTCTAATTAATATTAAGGTAGTGTCATATACAAGCTGCTATTATGCATTTTCAAACCAAATGTTTTGTTGTCAGTCCAGCCTTAGCTTCCTCAGCCTCAAACCAGAAGCTGGTGAGTTTATATCTCAAACTCAGGGCCAGTAAATTATTAAACAAGCATCAGCTTGAAATGATTTAGCCTTTTTCACACTTGGATAATTGACAGCAACATGATGATACACCAGATTATTGTATTAATTCATGAATACATTTGCAAGTCTACGCAATATATATTGTCAGAAGATTTATAATTTTTATGTATTTTAATTTCAGATTTGCTTTTTTGTATTTGTGCATGTATATAGACACAGTGACCAAGCCCACCATAACCTGTAACATGAGCGATGGCAGCAGCTCTGACAAATCAGGAAGTGAAGCCACACTGAAGTGCTCTGCACACTCATCACAATCCTTAAACTACACGTGGAGCCAACCTGGAAAAATTCAGCCTGGCCAGATATTATCGATACCTCTAGGGACAGAACATGATGATAAAGTATACAGCTGTACTGCAAGCAACCAATTGTCCAAAGAAATAGCTACATTCACTGCAAAGGATTGCTACCCTGGTAAGGTTTTACTAATTAGCTGTAATTAATGGATTGAATTGGGCATTTTCAGAAACCATTTGATACAAACTGCTTTTATCAGTGTGTTACGACCCTTCTAGGGCTTATCCCACCAAAGGCCACTGGTTTAATTGGGAAACAACACCTAAACTACTGCACTGATAATAACAGTGACTTTAATCTCAAAGAATGCAGTTTTCTGTTAACTTTACTGTAATATAAATAACAATATACCTGGACAATGATGTGCAGAGTGCACAACCTACTGTGTTATCAGTTATATTAGTGGAAAAAAGATATTTTATTAATTGCATGTTTGAAAATTCATATACATATCCATTTGGTAATAAGGGAGACTGCAGTGTTCATGTTGTCTAAAACCTCTGGTTTTATGGAAATATAACTGCATTGGAAATGTGTTTGACTGTTATGGAAGTTGTTCTATTTGGATTTCTGTGTTTCTGTGCAGTTGGAGCCTCAACAGGACTCATTACTGGACTGATTATTGGCGTGATAGCACTACTCTTGTGTGTTTTGGGTGCAGTGTTCTGTGCAGTAAAGCATAAAGGTAAAATAAAATAACAACAGTTTAAGAAATGAAAACTTCTTGAGAGGAATGGGTCCAAAAATACTAACTTATCATGACAAACCAAGTGATACACAGGATATATGGTAGATTCAGAGAAACTGTATATCCTGTATGTAACATAAGGTTAACAGACTTGACTTGATAGTATAATACATTCTACTGGACTGATGTTTTTTTTATTTGGCGATCTAAATACTAATTGGATATTTGTAAATGTATTTATGTGGAGTATTGTTGAAAACCTCTGTGTTTAAGTGACTTTAACCTTCATAGTGTAACTTAAGAAAGAAATCACATTCCGTATTTATTATTATTTCTCCTTTTTCTTGATTCCAGCAAAAAAGGAGAAAACCGCTGCGGAACAGCCACATAGTGGTAAGGAAAAATGTCTAATCTTGTGTGTTTTGTTTTGTTAGTGACAAATATTTTTGACATCATTAATTTAATGATTACTTTTACAATTCAGTGATGAGAGACAATTATGCGGTGTTCTGAACAACAAACAGACAAAGGCCTAAAACCTGTTGTCATTTCAATATCACCTATTATCAATGATTTTAGAGGAATTTATTAATACCATACATTTTTCATGTATGAACTAACTCAGCAAAAAAGAAGGTTAAATGAGCAATCTTTAAAAAAAAAATCCTAAATAATGAAGAAATGATAAATGGTCTATAACTAGACCAATGGGGATAATCAGCTGATTATTTCGACTTTGTTGAGATAAACAATGAAGAGGTTACCTGGGAAGAAAATTATTTTTTCTTTTAATTTTTTCTTTTAAATTAGTTACTTTTTTTGTATTTCCATCTATTTCAGATCATGAATCTGATCAACCATCAGACCCTCTTCTTCATAGAAGAGAAACAAGGCCCTCTTCCCAAAAGCTTCACCATCCGGAAGAAACTTTGAAGAATAGCAATTCTGATCACAAAGATGAAAAACACAAGAAGTTGGACCGACACACTGGAAAAGGTAAAAGTAAAAGTAGCTCAATGTTTTTCCAGTTCTCTGATTTGGAGTGTTTTATACGCCTATTTTAGCTTCAGTGAAGAAGCGTAATAGCCAGAAAAGTGTATCTCACTCTCTCTGTGTGTATGTGTGTGTGTGTTGTGTTTCTGGTTCATGTAATCTATTCTTTGCTTCAGCTGAGGGATTAAAAGACAGAAGATGCAGACAGTTTGTTAGAAAAAATATTTTTGTGCAGAAATACATTGATTAAAAATAGTAAGATTAGAAGTAGTATCAAAAATAAAACTTCAACAGATATCTTTATGTGTATGGTCATGACTAGGACTTACTCGTTATTAGTGATTAATTTCCATACTTTTTAGAAAACAGCATATGTACCAAACTAGTACTTGAAAAAAAAACTTTACCAGTTACACACTATCAAAATTCTTCAGCTTAGTAAATTGTCTTAGTAAATTGCTTAGAAGGTTTCTGCAGTTTTTCCAATCGTGCTGCTGATGTCTCAGTTCACATGTGTCCACTTTTCTCACCTGCTAAGCTCAGTTTTTCAGTTTGTCACCTTATTAAATACATAATTTTGGGTTAGGTGCTGCACTGAAGCTCACCACACTACAGTTTTTAAACATCTTTTAGCATTTTCCTAGCAGATACAGTTGACAAGGATTAGTTTTCCCCTTGTGTTGGCTGGACTTAATTTTTAATTTAATTAACTTAAGTCATTCATTGCTGGTGGATAGGTGGCATGGACCAAATAGAATAGAATAGAATAGAATAAACCTTTATTATCCCACAGATAAGAAATTTCGGTGTTACAGAGCTCTTACAGCAAGGGAAAATAAAATATAAAAGGAAGACACAAGGTGGTCCTATAAATACGTAGCTGATTTACTGTTGCAGACATTTATTTGCATTGATTTCTCAAGACTGACCTTCTGTGTAAAAGACATATCTAGATTAGTATAATATGTATAAGCTGACACATAACATTACCTTGTGTACCTTTTCTTTTCACTGTCTCTCCCTATAATAAACAAAGCAGGTCACAGTTATATGGAAATATTCTGAAAACCCCCCCCAAAACAGCTACAAGAAGACACTTACTAAAGTGTAAGTGTAACACTTACTAAAAATGCAGCTGATGCACCTGGAGTACAGCTAATGGTAACCTAGCCAGCCATTGCTTAATAATTTAATAAAATCTCAAGTTTTATTAGTTGCTCTAAGCCAGACCTTCCCAAAGTTTGGGGCCCGCCCCCTAAGGGGGGTCGCAGAGCCATTGCAGGGGGGGGCGCGGTATGAAAAGGGGGGGAAAAAAACAACAACGCTTGGACACTGCTAGCACGGGGCGCCCACACAAACGCAAAGCAGGAGATGAAGCATCGCTGCATACGTTTCCAAACCAACTTCATTCTAAGCCAAAGACTAGAAAATATGGTGAAGCATATCTTCCCTTTGGTTTCACCTGCACAAGTGCCGAGGTAGGTCTCCCCTGCAGAATTTGTTTTCCCTTCGTCAGGAGCACGTGCTGGACTGTTCAAATCAAGGACAAACAGTATTCCACATCCTTGATTTTTAGTTCACAAACACTTGTTGTAATGACTAACTACTCCTGACATTTTGGAGATGTTAGCTCTTTATACAGTAAAGTTACAGTGGGATACAAATAACATCAGGCTGATCCTGCCACGATTTGTTCCCCCTGTCTAAATCAGAGACAAACAGTATCCCACAGCTGTTTATGTTTTTAAACCCATTTTGCACAGAGAGGCATTTTTTTTGAAAAATGTATTGATAGCAATGTTGAATATTAGTACACAGTAAAAAAACAACTACACGTAAAATAATTACACCGTGACGCCTCTGCCTTTCTAAATGGAGGGACAGTAACTGCGTGTATGTATGTAAGCGTGTAATACCTGCTATGAGGGGCCATACAAGCCAAAATTCATTCTTTCACTCTCACATAGTTTTGGTTTAATTTTTATATTTAGATATTTTTATTCTCATGTTTACACATATTTAGCACACACATTGCAATATTGTGCTCTCTTATACATGTATTTTAATGTACATATTTACAAATTGTCACTCTAACATACATGCATTTTCATTTATGCATTCCTACATTTTTCTCTCATTTACATGCATTCAATATGCATTTAATCTCACAAATAATATGTGTATGTAAGAAGAGAATGCATACATGTCTTAAGAAAATATGTATGCAAGAGAATAATGTATGTGAATGAAAGAGTATAGTGGAAACGGAAGGAGTTTAATGGAAACGGAAGGCTGGGTGTCTGTACCGCTGTGATTGGCTGAGAAGCACGCACAGGTCACTTTGAAGTGTCTGACAGCATGGAGGGGGGAGAAGAAACTCGAGTTCTTCAGCAAGCTATCAGGGTGTTAAGAAAGATTTCATCATCTCCTGAAACGGTCACATCGTTGTCCTCGTCACTTGAGGAGGGGGGGGGGGGGACATTTTTCTTGTAAAACAAAGGGGGGCCTAGCAAAAAAGTTTGGGAACCACTGCTTTAAGCCATCTAAATGGCTCCTAATGGTGAAAGCCACACAAGATGAGAGGTTTTCAAGATTATTTTTTTCAAAAATGTTTTTGTTATTTATAATCACTGATCAGTGGTATGATATTGCAGTAGATTCATTTTTTTCTGTTTGTAATTCATTCCTTACAGTGAAGAAGATGGTTCAAAACATTGAACAAGGACAGATAGGTAATTGTTGTTTTTCCACTCATGCTAATTGATTGAACCAGTGAAATATAATAACCAACTTTTTGGGGAAAACAACTTGTTTTATTATCTCTCTCTCTCTCTGCCATCTCAGATCCAGTCTCTATAGAAAATGAAGTGGAAGAGAATAGGAAAAAAGAAGACAGTAAATCAGATGACATGACAAACACCATTTCTAAACAGACAGGTACAGAATCAACAACAATAAACTACTTTTTTTTTCCTGCTACAAAAAGAGTCACACCGTTGTTTTCTTGGGAAATGGCTTCTTGACTTTCTTGACAAATTTTAAAGATTGGTTTAGTCCAAAGCTCTTTTTACTGTTTCTTCCAGAGTCAGAGAAAAGGGTAGATGAGCAAACATCGGTTTCACTTGAAAATGGTATTTGGCCATCTGCAGTCCAGCCAAATTCTCCTTTGAACGACGAGGCACCTGTTGCTGCGGAAGATGTCAACTCACAACAGGCCCCTGGAATAAAGAAAGAAAATCAATCAATTGGCTCAGGTGAAAAAAAGAGTGTTGTTCACCATTTCTGAGTGCAGAAACAGTGGTAATAACCCAATAGGTTTATTTTATTCATCTGGACGTAGTGTTTTCAGTCGGAGACAACTGAAACCAGCCCACTGAATGAACAATTCTATTCAGTTCAGCTATTGAAGAAATGTACTGTTTAAGATTGGGAAAACCTGCAGTCAGCTGAGACTGAAGAAGTCACTTGGATGAGTGACAAAACATTTCTCCCACTGAAAATGCTGCGTCCACATGAACAGAATCAATTTTTTGGGTTTTGCATACCTTGATGATTGAGCATGCATAAAGACAGTAGTAATAACTAAGGTTGGGCGATATGTAAAACCTTTCCAACCGGCAATCATCAGTCCAACAATTGCAGATGGGCGATAGTTTGGCGCATGCGCAGACTTTTGATGGGTGGGGCAATGTAATCATGCATGGACTGATTTGCGTGTTTACAAATCAGTGGTTTACAAATGGGGTGGCTGTGGCTCAGGTGGCAGAGCAGATCAGCTACTGATTGGAAGGTTGGTGGTTTGATTCCTGGCTTCCCCAGTCTGCAATATCCTTGGGCAAGATATTAACCCCAAATTGCCCTCCGATGCATTCATCAGAGTGTGAATGTGTGTGAATGTTTATTAGTTGCGCTTGTGTGAATGGGTGAATGAGGCATGTTGTATAGAGCGCTTTGAGTACTCCGGGAGAGTAGAAAAGCGCTTTATAAGAATCAGGCCATTTACAACACATTTATTTTTATCAGCCACCTTTGATTTTCTGACAAAAACAAGATGTTAACTAAATAAAACTGAATGCATGGGAAATAAAATGATGATAATGATACTGACATTTTTTGTCAATGACAAAAAAGATCTGTAGAAACGTGGTCCAATGAGAACTAATTAAGTTGTGTAGAAAGGTGGGACCAGTTTAGAAGTAATGCAGTTAGAATGATCAGCATTTGATCTGCCCCTGGCAAATGGTACAGCACAACTAGCTCCCATGTTTCTTGTTTCTCATGAAAATGCAATAAACAAAGGACACATTTGTCACAGTTCAAAAACGGGTAAAAACAAAACAAACCTTTAAACTATATATTTTAGTCAAGTGAATCTTTAGATTTTCAGTCAACTAAAAATAGACTAAAACAGAAATAACTGAAATGCCTAAATCACACTAAATCTAAATCATAGTTAAAGTGTTAAATGTAACACTGATCTGTGGGGATTGAGTTGTTCATGGAGTCACCCTAAAGTACTGCAGCAGTGTAACGTACTGCATTTTTGGCACTTACTGGTTTCATTTCTTTAATGTTGATAGTTTCCTTCTAGCATTTGGTGACTGCTGGAATTTTATATAAACTTGTGGCTTCATGTCTAAACTATATTTTTAAAGTACGTCAAGAAACAAGCTTTTCATCACCAGCAACCTAAGCTTCAAGTTTGGTCCTAATTAGCAGATGAAAAGTTATAATAGTGAACATGGAAAAGATTAAACATTGTGAGCATGCATACATTAACCTAAAACGTCATTAACCAAACTAACTTAGCAGCACTACCACCTACTAACTCCCAAGGCAGCTTCTTGCTGAAGCAATATTTTTCCTTTTTCTGTCTCAGGTGTGGAAAACAACAAAGATGAGCCCAAAAAAGTTAAGCCTGTTGTGCCTGTAAAGTCTTTTAAAATCAGAAAAGGACAAGCTAATATAAATCCAGCCAGAGAAGAAGAACACAGTGGGGCCACAGAATCTGGTCTGCAATCATCCACTGCTCCTAAAAATCCAGGTTTGAAAGTATACCATGAAAGCTAGATTCAGAATAGTCACAGGAATTTTTTTTACCTTTTATCCATATAACATATTTTTGTCCTTTTAAATTCACACATAGATATTTTGGATGACGTTGGAAGAGCTTTAATTGTCAGGAAGAAATGTGGAAAAAAACAATACAGAAATCTTTTTGTTACTCTTCATTTTACCAAAGATTATATTATATATTCTATAATAATTCTATATATTATATTATAGAATTCTTATTAATATTAATTAACATCTACATCATCATGACGTCTGGAGCATTGTATATAATTTGGGTGACAGTGGAAAATGTCTTTTTGTTATCTAAAAAAGAATTTGAAAACCAGCATTGAAAAGATTTTGTTACTCTTTGAACCAGTCGTCATCCTTTGATGATTACAATAACATTTCCTAGTTTAGAAGGAAAACATGTCTTTAAAAATTACTTTACTTGGTTTATTTTAATATATTTATTGGGAAATGGCTTCTTCGTTTTCCTGACCCATTTTTACACCTCACTGGAGAAAGACTGGTTTAGAATAAACCAAGTTTCCCTCCAAACTATTTAACCCTACTACCATCTTTTAGCAGACTAGTGGATTTTTTAAACTTTTTTCCCCCGTTTGTTTCAGGATCAGAGCAACAGGAAGATGAGGAACCAAAGGGTTCTACTGAAAATGGTTCTTCAGCAAACCAGCCAAGTTCATCTTCGATCAACAAGCCACCTGTTGTTGGGGAAGATGTCAGCTCAGAACAGGTCACAGAAGAAAAAGAAAAGGAATCAGATGACAAGACAAAGAAGGAAGATCCACCGACCGTTCCTGATCAAACAGGTGCAGAAACAACAGCTATAAACTGCTTTTTTTTTGTTTTTCTGGTACAGAAAGAGTCGCACTTTGAAAAAGACTTCATGAAAATAATGAGCAAACATGTATCTAAAGAAAACAGTGAATAAGATGGTGTAGGTGTCCAGGAAGAAAGAGATAAGTGAAACTGCCTTTATATAGTCTGTAGTCTCGGAGCGCCATAATGTCAAAACTATTCAACACCAGTACCTTTCAATACTCCTCTGATATTATACATACAGTCCCTCATACAAAAGATCAGGACAGAATAGGCAAAGATCCAGACAGACAGACAACATATTAGAGGCAGACAAACATACATTTTTTGACATTAAATCCAGTGAAGCATAGAGAATATAAAATTAGCTCTTTAATAGGATTGAACAGAGTAAAGAAAAATGTACATTTTAGAAGATGGCATCAGACAGTATTTGTCTTAAATCAGTAAATAGTATGAAGAAACACTCAGGTGCATAAGTTTATTTTTTGGGCCCATGAAATATTATTTTGCAATTTTTTCCTCTGCATATCACCACAGTGAAAGTTAAGTCAAACAATCAAGATGTGATTTAAATGCAAACATCCAGCTTTAATTTAAAGGGTTGGATAAATATATTGCATTACTGTTTAAGAATTTCAGTAAGTTTTTTAAAACATACACCTCCATTTTCAGAGGTTCAAAAGTAATTAGACAGTTGACTGACAAGTGGTTTAATGGCTGGGCCTGTCACCATGTTATGACAATTTATTGTCTTAATATGTCATGACATATTAAGACAATAAATTATGTGGTTGATATTTTGAAGCATGGTCCTATATATATTCATACATGTACACTTTGCCTGTCACATGTTTGCTATTTGGTCCTAAATAAAGTGTAAAATGTTAGAACACACACAAAAACTAGAGCTGAGACCGCTGATGATCCGGTTGTGTAGTTACCACAAACAAGTCATTTACCAAAATGCTCCAAAAGCCGTCAACACCACAAACAAGTTCAAGAGACGAGGCCTGGTAGCACCTACCTATCATGTAAAGTGACCTCACATCAAATGATGTATGACTTTAAGCTTCATAAAATTTTAACCAGTAGCTATAAAGACGGTCACCACTTTATTATCAGGGTCTGTGCAGATGTTAATTTTGTAAATAAATCATTGTCATTTTATTTTTATCAGCCACCTTTGATTTTCTGACAAAAACAAGATGTTAACTAAATAAAACTGAATGCATGGGAAATAAAATGATGATAATGATACTGACATTTTTTGTCAATGACAAAAAAGATCTGTAGAAACGTGGTCCAATGAGAACTAATTAAGTTGTGTAGAAAGGTGGGACCAGTTTAGAAGTAATGCAGTTAGAATGATCAGCATTTGATCTGCCCCTGGCAAATGGTACAGCACAACTAGCTCCCATGTTTCTTGTTTCTCATGAAAATGCAATAAACAAAGGACACATTTGTCACAGTTCAAAAACGGGTAAAAACAAAACAAACCTTTAAACTATATATTTTAGTCAAGTGAATCTTTAGATTTTCAGTCAACTAAAAATAGACTAAAACAGAAATAACTGAAATGCCTAAATCACACTAAATCTAAATCATAGTTAAAGTGTTAAATGTAACACTGATCTGTGGGGATTGAGTTGTTCATGGAGTCACCCTAAAGTACTGCAGCAGTGTAACGTACTGCATTTTTGGCACTTACTGGTTTCATTTCTTTAATGTTGATAGTTTCCTTCTAGCATTTGGTGACTGCTGGAATTTTGTATAAACTTGTGGCTTCATGTCTAAACTATATTTTTAAAGTACGTCAAGAAACAAGCTTTTCATCACCAGCAACCTAAGCTTCAAGTTTGGTCCTAATTAGCAGATGAAAAGTTATAATAGTGAACATGGAAAAGATTAAACATTGTGAGCATGCATACATTAACCTAAAACGTCATTAACCAAACTAACTTAGCAGCACTACCACCTACTAACTCCCAAGGCAGCTTCTTGCTGAAGCAATATTTTTCCTTTTTCTGTCTCAGGTGTGGAAAACAACAAAGATGAGCCCAAAAAAGTTAAGCCTGTTGTGCCTGTAAAGTCTTTTAAAATCAGAAAAGGACAAGCTAATATAAATCCAGCCAGAGAAGAAGAACACAGTGGGCCACAGAATCTGGTCTGCAATCATCCACTGCTCCTAAAAATCCAGGTTTGAAAGTATACCATGAAAGCTAGATTCAGAATAGTCACAGGAATTTTTTTTACCTTTTATCCATATAACATATTTTTGTCCTTTTAAATTCACACATAGATATTTTGGATGACGTTGGAAGAGCTTTAATTGTCAGGAAGAAATGTGGAAAAAAACAATACAGAAATCTTTTTGTTACTCTTCATTTTACCAAAGATTATATTATTATAGAATTCTTATTAATATTAATTAACATCTACATCATCATGACGTCTGGAGCATTGTATATAATTTGGGTGACAGTGGAAAATGTCTTTTTGTTATCTAAAAAAGAATTTGAAAACCAGCATTGAAAAGATTTTGTTACTCTTTGAACCAGTCGTCATCCTTTGATGATTACAATAACATTTCCTAGTTTAGAAGGAAAACATGTCTTTAAAAATTACTTTACTTGGTTTATTTTAATATATTTATTGGGAAATGGCTTCTTCGTTTTCCTGACCCATTTTTACACCTCACTGGAGAAAGACTGGTTTAGAATAAACCAAGTTTCCCTCCAAACTATTTAACCCTACTACCATCTTTTAGCAGACTAGTGGATTTTTTAAACTTTTTTCCCCCGTTTGTTTCAGGATCAGAGCAACAGGAAGATGAGGAACCAAAGGGTTCTACTGAAAATGGTTCTTCAGCAAACCAGCCAAGTTCATCTTCGATCAACAAGCCACCTGTTGTTGGGGAAGATGTCAGCTCAGAACAGGTCACAGAAGAAAAGAAAAGGAATCAGATGACAAGACAAAGAAGGAAGATCCACCGACCGTTCCTGATCAAACAGGTGCAGAAACAACAGCTATAAACTGCTTTTTTTTTGTTTTTCTGGTACAGAAAGAGTCGCACTTTGAAAAAGACTTCATGAAAATAATGAGCAAACATGTATCTAAAGAAAACAGTGAATAAGATGGTGTAGGTGTCCAGGAAGAAAGAGATAAGTGAAACTGCCTTTATATAGTCTGTAGTCTTGGAGCGCCATAATGTCAAAACTATTCAACACCAGTACCTTTCAATACTCCTCTGATATTATACATACAGTCCCTCATACAAAAGATCAGGACAGAATAGGCAAAGATCCAGACAGACAGACAACATATTAGAGGCAGACAAACATACATTTTTTGACATTAAATCCAGTGAAGCATAGAGAATATAAAATTAGCTCTTTAATAGGATTGAACAGAGTAAAGAAAAATGTACATTTTAGAAGATGGCATCAGACAGTATTTGTCTTAAATCAGTAAATAGTATGAAGAAACACTCAGGTGCATAAGTTTATTTTTTGGGCCCATGAAATATTATTTTGCAATTTTTTCCTCTGCATATCACCACAGTGAAAGTTAAGTCAAACAATCAAGATGTGATTTAAATGCAAACATCCAGCTTTAATTTAAAGGGTTGGATAAATATATTGCATTACTGTTTAAGAATTTCAGTAAGTTTTTTAAAACATACACCTCCATTTTCAGAGGTTCAAAAGTAATTAGACAGTTGACTGACAAGTGGTTTAATGGCTGGGCCTGTCACCATGTTATGACAATTTATTGTCTTAATATGTCATGACATATTAAGACAATAAATTATGTGGTTGATATTTTGAAGCATGGTCCTATATATATTCATACATGTACACTTTGCCTGTCACATGTTTGCTATTTGGTCCTAAATAAAGTGTAAAATGTTAGAACACACACAAAAACTAGAGCTGAGACCGCTGATGATCCGGTTGTGTAGTTACCACAAACAAGTCATTTACCAAAATGCTCCAAAAGCCGTCAACACCACAAACAAGTTCAAGAGACGAGGCCTGGTAGCACCTACCTATCATGTAAAGTGACCTCACATCAAATGATGTATGACTTTAAGCTTCATAAAATTTTAACCAGTAGCTATAAAGACGGTCACCACTTTATTATCAGGGTCTGTGCAGATGTTAATTTTGTAAATAAATCATTGTCATTTTATTTTTATCAGCCACCTTTGATTTTCTGACAAAAACAAGATGTTAACTAAATAAAACTGAATGCATGGGAAATAAAATGATGATAATGATACTGACATTTTTTGTCAATGACAAAAAAGATCTGTAGAAACGTGGTCCAATGAGAACTAATTAAGTTGTGTAGAAAGGTGGGACCAGTTTAGAAGTAATGCAGTTAGAATGATCAGCATTTGATCTGCCCCTGGCAAATGGTACAGCACAACTAGCTCCCATGTTTCTTGTTTCTCATGAAAATGCAATAAACAAAGGACACATTTGTCACAGTTCAAAAACGGGTAAAACAAAACAAACCTTTAAACTATATATTTTAGTCAAGTGAATCTTTAGATTTTCAGTCAACTAAAATAGACTAAAACAGAAATAACTGAAATGCCTAAATCACACTAAATCTAAATCATAGTTAAAGTGTTAAATGTAACACTGATCTGTGGGGATTGAGTTGTTCATGGAGTCACCCTAAAGTACTGCAGCAGTGTAACGTACTGCATTTTTGGCACTTACTGGTTTCATTTCTTTAATGTTGATAGTTTCCTTCTAGCATTTGGTGACTGCTGGAATTTTGTATAAACTTGTGGCTTCATGTCTAAACTATATTTTTAAAGTACGTCAAGAAACAAGCTTTTCATCACCAGCAACCTAAGCTTCAAGTTTGGTCCTAATTAGCAGATGAAAAGTTATAATAGTGAACATGGAAAAGATTAAACATTGTGAGCATGCATACATTAACCTAAAACGTCATTAACCAAACTAACTTAGCAGCACTACCACCTACTAACTCCCAAGGCAGCTTCTTGCTGAAGCAATATTTTTCCTTTTTCTGTCTCAGGTGTGGAAAACAACAAAGATGAGCCCAAAAAAGTTAAGCCTGTTGTGCCTGTAAAGTCTTTTAAAATCAGAAAAGGACAAGCTAATATAAATCCAGCCAGAGAAGAAGAACACAGTGGGGCCACAGAATCTGGTCTGCAAGCATCCACTGCTCCTAAAAATCCAGGTTTGAAAGTATACCATGAAAGCTAGATTCAGAATAGTCACAGGAAATTTTTTTACCTTTTATCCATATAACATATTTTTGTCCTTTTAAATTCACACATAGATATTTTGGATGACGTTGGAAGAGCTTTAATTGTCAGGAAGAAATGTGAAAAAAACAATACAGAAATCTTTTTGTTACTCTTCATTTTACCAAAGATTATATTATATATTCTATAATAATTCTATATTATATTATAGAATTCTTATTAATATTAATTAACATCTACATCATCATGACGTCTGGAGCATTGTATATAATTTGGGTGACAGTGGAAAATGTCTTTTTGTTATCTAAAAAAGAATTTGAAACCAGCATTGAAAAGATTTTGTTACTCTTTGAACCAGTCGTCATCCTTTGATGATTACAATAACATTTCCTAGTTTAGAAGGAAAACATGTCTTTAAAAATTACTTTACTTGGTTTATTTTAATATATTTATTGGGAAATGGCTTCTTCGTTTTCCTGACCCATTTTTACACCTCACTGGAGAAAGACTGGTTTAGAATAAACCAAGTTTCCCTCCAAACTATTTAACCCTACTACCATCTTTTAGCAGACTAGTGGATTTTTTAAACTTTTTTCCCCCGTTTGTTTCAGGATCAGAGCAACAGGAAGATGAGGAACCAAAGGGTTCTACTGAAAATGGTTCTTCAGCAAACCAGCCAAGTTCATCTTCGATCAACAAGCCACCTGTTGTTGGGGAAGATGTCAGCTCAGAACAGGTCACAGAAGAAAAAGAAAAGGAATCAGATGACAAGACAAAGAAGGAAGATCCACCGACCGTTCCTGATCAAACAGGTGCAGAAACAACAGCTATAAACTGCTTTTTTTTTGTTTTTCTGGTACAGAAAGAGTCGCACTTTGAAAAAGACTTCATGAAAATAATGAGCAAACATGTATCTAAAGAAAACAGTGAATAAGATGGTGTAGGTGTCCAGGAAGAAAGAGATAAGTGAAACTGCCTTTATATAGTCTGTAGTCTCGGAGCGCCATAATGTCAAAACTATTCAACACCAGTACCTTTCAATACTCCTCTGATATTATACATACAGTCCCTCATACAAAAGATCAGGACAGAATAGGCAAAGATCCAGACAGACAGACAACATATTAGAGGCAGACAAACATACATTTTTTGACATTAAATCCAGTGAAGCATAGAGAATATAAAATTAGCTCTTTAATAGGATTGAACAGAGTAAAGAAAAATGTACATTTTAGAAGATGGCATCAGACAGTATTTGTCTTAAATCAGTAAATAGTATGAAGAAACACTCAGGTGCATAAGTTTATTTTTTGGGCCCATGAAATATTATTTTGCAATTTTTTCCTCTGCATATCACCACAGTGAAAGTTAAGTCAAACAATCAAGATGTGATTTAAATGCAAACATCCAGCTTTAATTTAAAGGGTTGGATAAATATATTGCATTACTGTTTAAGAATTTCAGTAAGTTTTTTAAAACATACACCTCCATTTTCAGAGGTTCAAAAGTAATTAGACAGTTGACTGACAAGTGGTTTAATGGCTGGGCCTGTCACCATGTTATGACAATTTATTGTCTTAATATGTCATGACATATTAAGACAATAAATTATGTGGTTGATATTTTGAAGCATGGTCCTATATATATTCATACATGTACACTTTGCCTGTCACATGTTTGCTATTTGGTCCTAAATAAAGTGTAAAATGTTAGAACACACACAAAAACTAGAGCTGAGACCGCTGATGATCCGGTTGTGTAGTTACCACAAACAAGTCATTTACCAAAATGCTCCAAAAGCCGTCAACACCACAAACAAGTTCAAGAGACGAGGCCTGGTAGCACCTACCTATCATGTAAAGTGACCTCACATCAAATGATGTATGACTTTAAGCTTCATAAAATTTTAACCAGTAGCTATAAAGACGGTCACCACTTTATTATCAGGGTCTGTGCAGATGTTAATTTTGTAAATAAATCATTGTCATTTTATTTTTATCAGCCACCTTTGATTTTCTGACAAAAACAAGATGTTAACTAAATAAAACTGAATGCATGGGAAATAAAATGATGATAATGATACTGACATTTTTTGTCAATGACAAAAAAGATCTGTAGAAACGTGGTCCAATGAGAACTAATTAAGTTGTGTAGAAAGGTGGGACCAGTTTAGAAGTAATGCAGTTAGAATGATCAGCATTTGATCTGCCCCTGGCAAATGGTACAGCACAACTAGCTCCCATGTTTCTTGTTTCTCATGAAAATGCAATAAACAAAGGACACATTTGTCACAGTTCAAAAACGGGTAAAAACAAAACAAACCTTTAAACTATATATTTTAGTCAAGTGAATCTTTAGATTTTCAGTCAACTAAAAATAGACTAAAACAGAAATAACTGAAATGCCTAAATCACACTAAATCTAAATCATAGTTAAAGGGTTAAATGTAACACTGATCTGTGGGGATTGAGTTGTTCATGGAGTCACCCTAAAGTACTGCAGCAGTGTAACGTACTGCATTTTTGGCACTTACTGGTTTCATTTCTTTAATGTTGATAGTTTCCTTCTAGCATTTGGTGACTGCTGGAATTTTGTATAAACTTGTGGCTTCATGTCTAAACTATATTTTTAAAGTACGTCAAGAAACAAGCTTTTCATCACCAGCAACCTAAGCTTCAAGTTTGGTCCTAATTAGCAGATGAAAAGTTATAATAGTGAACATGGAAAAGATTAAACATTGTGAGCATGCATACATTAACCTAAAACGTCATTAACCAAACTAACTTAGCAGCACTACCACCTACTAACTCCCAAGGCAGCTTCTTGCTGAAGCAATATTTTTCCTTTTTCTGTCTCAGGTGTGGAAAACAACAAAGATGAGCCCAAAAAAGTTAAGCCTGTTGTGCCTGTAAAGTCTTTTAAAATCAGAAAAGGACAAGCTAATATAAATCCAGCCAAAGAAGAAGAACACAGTGGGGCCACAGAATCTGGTCTGCAATCATCCACTGCTCCTAAAAATCCAGGTTTGAAAGTATACCATGAAAGCTAGATTCAGAATAGTCACAGGAATTTTTTTACCTTTTATCCATATAACATATTTTTGTCCTTTTAAATTCACACATAGATATTTTGGATGACGTTGGAAGAGCTTTAATTGTCAGGAAGAAATGTGGAAAAAAACAATACAGAAATCTTTTTGTTACTCTTCATTTTACCAAAGATTATATTATTATAGAATTCTTATTAATATTAATTAACATCTACATCATCATGACATCTGGAGCATTGTATATAATTTGGGTGACAGTGGAAAATGTCTTTTTGTTATCTAAAAAAGAATTTGAAAACCAGCATTGAAAAGATTTTGTTACTCTTTGAACCAGTCGTCATCCTTTGATGATTACAATAACATTTCCTAGTTTAGAAGGAAAACATGTCTTTAAAAATTACTTTACTTGGTTTATTTTAATATATTTATTGGGAAATGGCTTCTTCGTTTTCCTGACCCATTTTTACACCTCACTGGAGAAAGACTGGTTTAGAATAAACCAAGTTTCCCTCCAAACTATTTAACCCTACTACCATCTTTTAGCAGACTAGTGGATTTTTAAACTTTTTTCCCCCGTTTGTTTCAGGATCAGAGCAACAGGAAGATGAGGAACCAAAGGGTTCTACTGAAAATGGTTCTTCAGCAAACCAGCCAAGTTCATCTTCGATCAACAAGCCACCTGTTGTTGGGGAAGATGTCAGCTCAGAACAGGTCACAGAAGAAAAGAAAAAGAAAAGGAATCAGATGACAAGACAAAGAAGGAAGATCCACCGACCGTTCCTGATCAAACAGGTGCAGAAACAACAGCTATAAACTGCTTTTTTTTGTTTTTCTGGTACAGAAAGAGTCGCACTTTGAAAAAGACTTCATGAAAATAATGAGCAAACATGTATCTAAAGAAAACAGTGAATAAGATGGTGTAGGTGTCCAGGAAGAAAGAGATAAGTGAAACTGCCTTTATATAGTCTGTAGTCTTGGAGCGCCATAATGTCAAAACTATTCAACACCAGTACCTTTCAATACTCCTCTGATATTATACATACAGTCCCTCATACAAAAGATCAGGACAGAATAGGCAAAGATCCAGACAGACAGACAACATATTAGAGGCAGACAAACATACATTTTTTGACATTAAATCCAGTGAAGCATAGAGAATATAAAATTAGCTCTTTAATAGGATTGAACAGAGTAAAGAAAAATGTACATTTTAGAAGATGGCATCAGACAGTATTTGTCTTAAATCAGTAAATAGTATGAAGAAACACTCAGGTGCATAAGTTTATTTTTTGGGCCATGAAATATTATTTTGCAATTTTTTCCTCTGCATATCACCACAGTGAAAGTTAAGTCAAACAATCAAGATGTGATTTAAATGCAAACATCCAGCTTTAATTTAAAGGGTTGGATAAATATATTGCATTACTGTTTAAGAATTTCAGTAAGTTTTTTAAAACATACACCTCCATTTTCAGAGGTTCAAAAGTAATTAGACAGTTGACTGACAAGTGGTTTAATGGCTGGGCCTGTCACCATGTTATGACAATTTATTGTCTTAATATGTCATGACATATTAAGACAATAAATTATGTGGTTGATATTTTGAAGCATGGTCCTATATATATTCATACATGTACACTTTGCCTGTCACATGTTTGCTATTTGGTCCTAAATAAAGTGTAAAATGTTAGAACACACACAAAAACTAGAGCTGAGACCGCTGATGATCCGGTTGTGTAGTTACCACAAACAAGTCATTTACCAAAATGCTCCAAAAGCCATCAACACCACAAACAAGTTCAAGAGACGAGGCCTGGTAGCACCTACCTATCATGTAAAGTGACCTCACATCAAATGATGTATGACTTTAAGCTTCATAAAATTTTAACCAGTAGCTATAAAGACGGTCACCACTTTATTATCAGGGTCTGTGCAGATGTTAATTTTGTAAATAAATCATTGTCATTTTATTTTTATCAGCCACCTTTGATTTTCTGACAAAAACAAGATGTTAACTAAATAAAACTGAATGCATGGGAAATAAAATGATGATAATGATACTGACATTTTTTGTCAATGACAAAAAAGATCTGTAGAAACGTGGTCCAATGAGAACTAATTAAGTTGTGTAGAAAGGTGGGACCAGTTTAGAAGTAATGCAGTTAGAATGATCAGCATTTGATCTGCCCCTGGCAAATGGTACAGCACAACTAGCTCCCATGTTTCTTGTTTCTCATGAAAATGCAATAAACAAAGGACACATTTGTCACAGTTCAAAAACGGGTAAAAACAAAACAAACCTTTAAACTATATATTTTAGTCAAGTGAATCTTTAGATTTTCAGTCAACTAAAAATAGACTAAAACAGAAATAACTGAAATGCCTAAATCACACTAAATCTAAATCATAGTTAAAGTGTTAAATGTAACACTGATCTGTGGGGATTGAGTTGTTCATGGAGTCACCCTAAAGTACTGCAGCAGTGTAACGTACTGCATTTTTGGCACTTACTGGTTTCATTTCTTTAATGTTGATAGTTTCCTTCTAGCATTTGGTGACTGCTGGAATTTTGTATAAACTTGTGGCTTCATGTCTAAACTATATTTTTAAAGTACGTCAAGAAACAAGCTTTTCATCACCAGCAACCTAAGCTTCAAGTTTGGTCCTAATTAGCAGATGAAAAGTTATAATAGTGAACATGGAAAAGATTAAACATTGTGAGCATGCATACATTAACCTAAAACGTCATTAACCAAACTAACTTAGCAGCACTACCACCTACTAACTCCCAAGGCAGCTTCTTGCTGAAGCAATATTTTTCCTTTTTCTGTCTCAGGTGTGGAAAACAACAAAGATGAGCCCAAAAAAGTTAAGCCTGTTGTGCCTGTAAAGTCTTTTAAAATCAGAAAAGGACAAGCTAATATAAATCCAGCCAGAGAAGAAGAACACAGTGGGGCCACAGAATCTGGTCTGCAATCATCCACTGCTCCTAAAAATCCAGGTTTGAAAGTATACCATGAAAGCTAGATTCAGAATAGTCACAGGAATTTTTTTTACCTTTTATCCATATAACATATTTTTGTCCTTTTAAATTCACAGGGATGGGTATCGTTTAGGTTTTATCCGATACCGGTGCCAAACCGTTACTTTTGAAACGGTGCCAGTGCTTAAACGGTGCTTAAACCGGTGCTTAAAGAATGGAGAACACAAAATTTGTCCAAAAACCTCTCATAGTCAGCTGTTTTTTTGTAAAAAGATAACAATGTTAGCCTTTTCTGCAGCTATAGGGGATTTATGGCATTACTCTTGGCTGGAAGCAGTGCTTAAACAATGGAAAAAACACAAACTTTGTCCAAAAACCTCTCATGTTTAACTGTTTTCCACTTTTTCTTTGGTCATTTTAGCCTTTTTGGCCAGGGTGAAGGGAGTATCTGCCATCAAACAAGAAGACAGCCGCATGTAGCTATGATGATGTTTGCTAGTTCACCTTACAAGCATTAATTTAATAAGTGGTTTGCCTACTCAACGTAAATTACACACGAACAACATTAAGCTACTCACGCAGAGAAGAACGGCTGCTGCTGCATCATCATCCGTCATCATTTCTGCTACACTGGCAGGGCTAGGGGCCAGGACTCTCCTCTTCGTGTTTTTGGGGGATGTTGCTAACTCCGAGTCCGATAACAGGCAACCCACCCGCAGTAGATGTGCTCGGTGTGAGGTCTCGCAGCAAGCTATCATACGGCGCATTTCTGGGCTTTTAAAAAAAACGCTATGCGTCACTAGGGCTGGGCGATATGACCCAAAATTCATATCTCGATATTTTTTAGCTAGATGGCGATATAAGATATATATCTCGATATTTTTTTAAAGCCATAAAGTAAGAACAAAAAGAGAGTTCTTAGTCAAAGCTGTGTCCCAGATGTCACACAGGCACTTTTATTAACATAAAGCATAGATGTACATGAAAAAAAACTACTCAAAAATAAATTATGAGCATTTATTAAAAATAATGCTCCATAAATAAAAGTAGTATGTTGTTTTTGTCCATAACAAAAAGCTCACAATTGTGCAGTCAAAATGTAAACTAAAAGACGCTGAGCATAATAACATAGGCAGATTTCACAGCTGCTCTGTTCCCAACTTCTACTGCGTGACTGACAGCCTTGAGTTTGAAATCCTCTTTGTAACCATGTCTCTTGTTAACAGGTGACATTTATGGTCATTATACACACACAATACGGTAATATTACGTTGAAGCACAGTGCGTATTACTACGTGAGGCTCCTCGGTAGCCGCTCCGACAGTCCATCAAGCGGTGCAGCCCCGTAGCTTACCAAAGTCGTACTAAAACATTTTTTGACAGATTGCTGAGCGCCGTGTCCCACATAAAATCGGTTCGCGGTCATCAAGCACAACCAGAATTCATACATAAGGTGCACTGTCAACTTTTGAGAAAATGAAAGGATTTTAGGCTGTGCAGCCCCTGTGGGCTGCATGGCGTTAGCGTGGTTAGCTCGTTAGCATGTTGACGCCGTCCAGCCCCACGCACGGAGGAATGCGCAGTAACTCGTTAACGGAGATTTGCAGTGTTCATCTTGTCGCTGCCTGCAGGTGAAGCTATGAGGGAGGAGGGGGAGTTGTGTTCAGTGAAGGAGAGGCGAGGTGGAGTAACGTTGCGTAAAGACAAAAGTGGACGAAAGAGAGGCAAACTTGTGGCTCCACAACTATAATTATAACGTATATATTGATATAAAGGATATGGTCACATCTTATATCTCGTATAAAAATATATCGATATTTTTTAAAAAAACTCGATATATCGCCCAGCCCTATGCGTCGCCAGGTGTTTCATCGGATTCGAGGTGTTACCTCCTTTGACAGTATCACAGTATCAGCTTAAAGCACTTGTTGCAGGCTGCTGAGTTTGCATATTTTGCTGTGAAGTACAGCCAGACTTTTGACCGCTTTGCCTTGGTCATTTTTAATCTGTAGCTCTGCTCTAAAAGAACGTACGTACCTGGCCCCGCCTACTATCCTTGGAAACATAAAATGATTGGCTAGAATCTAAAGTGTATCACAGCTCAGGAAAAAAAAAACACCGAAATAAAGCACCGAAATGTTTGCTGCTTTTCGGTCTGGTTACTACCGTTTATGTCAGAACCGCGGTACCCATCCCTATTTGAAAGTATACCATGAAAGCTAGATTCAGAATAGTCACAGGAAAAAAAATTAGTTAGCAAGACAAAAGCTGACAAGTTTTTGAACATGAAATATAATTTGGTGTTTAGGGTTAGTGTGCCAAATATTTGACTGTTTCTCTAACAGACAAAATGATTCACTGTTGTTTAGTGTGCTTTTTGTATTTTGAGTATTTTTGAATAATTTAAAATAATTTAAAGTAAAATTATGCAGATTTTATCAATGTGACATATTTTTTTCCCTTTAAAATCACACAAAGATATTTTTGGATGATGTTGGAAGAGCTTTAATTGTCAGGAAGAAATGTGAAAAAAAAAAACAATACAGAAATCCTTTTGTTCCTACTCATTTTACTGAAGATTATGCATGTTTTAAAAAGGGCCATTTGTTTATTGCTAATTATTAAACAGAAACTGAACTAAAGTTTTTCTGTACCTAATGTCACTTCTCACTATGGCCATCAAAGTTGATCACAGTATACATAACATTATAATCAACTGGACAAAAATAAAGAAGCCTAAAAAATAACAATAAAAAACAAACCGATAAATAAGTTTTTCAAAATCAATTTGCTGTCAAATTTATGTTTCTTTCATGATTTCTCTGTGCTTTCTTGCACTGTGAAGCACTTATTTCAAACACTTTCACTTTATTAGAGCAGCCGTACCGAGTAAATCAATGCAAGTAACCAACGGGAGGAGCATTTATTGTTAAGCTGTAGAGTTTATGGTTTAGTGTAGGGTCAGTTGTATTTGTGTCATGATACAAAGTACAAAGTATGTGGCAGCATCACTGTCTTTTATTGTTTATACTTAACAGTTCAGTATTTTCTTTCTATCTACGAATTCTAGTTTATATACACATTACAACTTTGAATATGCGCTAAATTCAGTTGACATTTATTTTGATTAACTATTTTAATGCAGTCTGTGGCTTTCTTGAAAACTGTTTTTTTTGGCTATGACCATTTTGATTAAACATCCAGTGAATAGGACTAGTTTATTTTAACTGTAAAGTATTTTTCCCTGTTAAAGATTTATTTTATAACAGGTACAGATCAGAGAGGAAAGGAGGGTCAGAGTGCTGATAGAATGACAAATGTCCCAGGTCAGAATCAAAGCCAGGCCCCTGCAGTACCTCTTTGGTATATGGGTCAGCTGCTCAACGAACTGAGCTATACTGGTGTCTTTGACTACAAGTTATTAACAGACTAGCGCACATTCTTTTTTTAATCTTTCTACTGTTTATTTCAGACTTGGTGAAAAAAGCAGATGACGACCAAATGTCTGCTCCTGAAAATAATGCCTCTCTGTCAGCTGCAGAGCCGCTTTCATCTTTGGCCCCAGCTTCTCCAACGATGGCATCTAAAAATGATGCTGGGGAAAATGTGGATGGCTCCAACAAAGAACAGGCTACTGGACAACCTAATAAGGAAATTGTTGGAAAGTCATCAGGCTCGGGGGAAGGAAATTAATCTACTGTCATAAATGGGAAAGAAGAGTTATCTACCATTCCTTATCTGAATACTAGAGAGAAATGAGCACAAAAAGCTACACGCTTGGGAGAGGACAATCAGCAAGAAGTTTCTGATCATATCAGGTGGTAGAGGTGATGAAAGCAAAGAATTCTGCCTCGGGACAAGGCAATAGTAACTGTAACCCTGTAGCAACAGAGCCCGATCATTAAAAAAAGGCTAAACTAATGAACGCCTTTCTAAAGATTCTGATGCAGCACATGCAGCCCAGTAGCATTGTGTCATTTACATACAATTTTCTCAAAAGTACTGTCTTTTCACAAATGTTAGCCTTTTTCTCTCTCGGTTCAGTTGAGCTTTCAAACAGACTGAACTTACAGTGCTACATTCACCCCACATACATGTAAAAAGAGTAAAAAATGATTTTTTTTTCTCATTCAAGTGAGTGCTTCCATTTGTGTATATGAGATTCCTTTACAGTGAGTGAGTGTGTGCCTGCTAAATGTTATTAGATTGGATCTTTCATCCACAGGGTACATTTACATGTAATCCAGGCATAAAACACAGGCATAAAACACACAGGTGAGGCAAACAAAGGTGAAACCACAAAGAATAATAGTAAAGTCCACCGTGTGGCCTAGAATAAGAAAAAAACAGACAGGAAAAGCCATGATGAAAGGCTATAGTGGAAAGGCTTTCAGAAAAGAAGTGAACCTATTGATTGTAGTTCAGAAGGAAACAGATCTCAAAACTGAAATTGTAAAATCTTTGTAAAGATCCAGTCTACAGCTGAAAAGAGTGTAGATGTCCTTCAGTCTGAGTCAGAACAAAGGCAAACAATTATTTGTCAAGAACCGAAGTTCAACACACAAGCTGGACCCAGGAGCAGAACACACACACAGCGGTACGAGAGAAAAAATAAACTTTATTATAACTGAGAGTGTCCCGGGAGAGTAGAAGGGAGAAAACGCACGGAACCAGAGAAACCGAGGGACCGGGAGAAGAATCGCGCAGGAAACGCCGAGAGCGGGACCGTGGGAGGCTGAAACAGAAAAAGAAAAAAGGATTATTGGGGTGCGGGTAAACCGGCAGCATACGAGGGGAGGTAGTGTACGCGTCTTACGATGATAGCGGGGCCAAGGGAACCGGAGGGAGGGGTGAGGGTCCGTGGGGAGAAGCTCCAGAAAGGCGAGGCGGCTGGGGTTGATCGTGATCCAATTCTGGACAGGCAGGTGGACAGGCTGGTGACTCAAAACACGCCGAGCAGTGATCGCTGAAGGACGATTACGGACTGGCGTGGAGCAGCAGGCTGGGCAGGATTAAATGGTCCACCTGGCGATCGCCTGGGATGGGATGCAGGTGTGGAGTCAGCGGCCACGCCCACGGGAGTGGGCATCCCATCAGCACCTCAGACGCCAGGCCGCGGACCATGACATTATTTGCTCAGCGAGGCCAGAAAAACAGACAGATTAACGGTAGGAGACACTGAAAACAAAAGCAGACAATTATATCAGAGACTTAAGACCGGAGGTCACCATTCATTTTGTTTTTTCAAAGTAGATAAGATATCAAAGAGCTCCTATAAATCAGCAAATACTATTATGCTAACAAAACAGCTTCTAAAAATACCACAGAGTTAGTCATCTTACAGACCACTGCAGAGGGCTGGTCTGAAATTATGCAACAGAAATTACATGAAATAATGTATTCTTGTGTATCTTGGCACTTCTAGTTAGTGAATGTGTTTGTTTGACAACTACATGTAAATATATTCTTTTAAAAATGATGATGATGATACAGTATGTTCAATAGTATTTTAAAAGCTCTAGCTTTATGTGTATGTGTTAAGGGGAAATTTCATTCATCACAATCTTATACAGTACAGTTTTACTGTGACAAGATTAAATTAAATTAATGAAAGAAAAAGGGTATTTGTTATGCATATCTGTAAGAAAATAAAGTCATAATGGCAATTTGTCTGCATATCTACGTTTAAAAGGTTCTTTAGAGTATTTTTATGCAATTTTTTAAAACACTTTTGCAATAACAACTGAAATTTCTATTAACTTATGATATAATTGCTATCTTTCATTAATTAATTGTAAATTAAGTTCGAATGGTGCTGTGGCATTTTGGTTTTCTTGCTCTGCTCTTTTTGTATTAACTTTGTTACGTTTCTTTCAGTTTTTCACAAAAAGATACTACAGCAGTATCTGACTTTGATGTAAATGTGCTATACATGTCTATTGACATAACCTGAGTGAAGTAAACTTAAAAAAAAAATTCCTTCCGTGTTTGTCGAGTTAAGACTGCAGATATATAATCTACCCTCATGTATTGCATCAGTTGATATAAATTGTAAAACTATTGTTCTGTCAATAGGTGGCAGTGTTTATCAGCTGTTACATTAAGCCATCAGCTGATTTTTTTCTGAGAAATTATTCTTTTTTAGACTTCAGTATTGAGATGATTGAAGGACATTTGTTTCTCTAAAGGCAGGAAAACATAAACTGAGAAACATACAACGATGAAATATTGATTTTCAGAAATGTATTTAATGTCATTTTTTAAACATTCAAACATTCAGATGTGTGGTTGAGTTCAGGGTAGTGTACCTGTGAAGTGTTGCATAAATGCATTGTGAAGATCTGCATGAATCCAGACTGATGTTGAAAGGATGTCTTTCACAGCTTATCAGTGAAATAGACAGTTTCATCACTCCATGGAAATAAAGGACTGCATAGCTAACGGTGAATTCAGCGAGGAGCAGGTCAGTGACACGAGAAGCATAACCATCAGGCCATCTAAACCGCTCAGTGATGCAAATACATGAAAGGCAGGTTCGACCCACCGCTGGATGACAAGCTGGTGTAGATTTCTAAGGGCACTGCGTGGGCCATGTGAGAAAGTCATTCATGATTAGTTTAACCTCTGAGTCACACAGAAGTCTGTGATCTGCTACCATGTGACCCGTGGGTTCATGGCACAAGCGGAGAATGAACGCTATCATATTTCTACGGCTATAACAAAAAGCAGGGGAATATTAGAGGTTTGAATTATTTGTTGGCGCTGGTCTCTGCCTCTCCGAACGAGTTCAACTGAGATGCTGTGTCGATGGCAGCAGGAACACGGACTCTCGCATCCTACCTCATAATCTTCTAGTGGAGTTGCTTTGGTTTTTTTTCACATTAACAGTCTTTGTTTGTAGGAATTGATTCTCAGTATTGATTGTTACAGCAGAAGGGCATTTTAAGGTTTTCCTGTATTTTGAAAAATGGTTTGTCAACCTATTATATTGTACAACTGGCCGAGGCATGCCCTTTATTGTAAGAAGAAGTCGTTCTCTGTGTCACTTCATATAGCAAGATTACGCTGGAGTGTGATAGTGCCTGCATAGACACTGGCCCAATTACACTTTCCCCTTGGATTGTTTATGTCCTTTTGGCCTTGTTGCAGTAAGAGAGAGTGAGAAAAAAAGAAGAATGGGCTACCCTCCAGAACTGCTTTTTATACCAGGTTGATTAGCATGCTGGGTTGTTTAAATTGCCTCCTGGAGGGCTGACGTGAAATCGAACAATATCCTCTGGCTTTAGAGACTAGCCCCAGAGCTTCTCATTTATTTTTATGCAGAGTTAGGACAGAGCCTTGGCACTGCTCCACTGAGGAGGCTGAGCCCAGGGAGGCCAGGCCTGGGTAGATCAGGACAAATCAATTAATATCAGCTCAGTAAAAGTTCTTGGCTCTCTCTCTGGGCCATACTTTACTGTGACACTGCAACCTGGGCGCCACTGTAATGATGTGGCTAAATTGTTAAGTGAAGCTGAGACATAATAATGAAATAATATCCTGTTCTTGCCTATCTCTATAAAAGGCCTCTGTTAAGGCTTGATTTGTCTTCAGACCCTCCGCTGTTCCAGCATTAATACCAAAGCCAAAGCATTGTTTTTCACTGTTATTATTATACTTCATCATACAGGCTTTTCCTCTTGGGTGAGGATGTTTATGACTATACTTGGCAGAATTCAGCCTCTATGCTTTACTAACATTTGGTCATCATGTAAAATTCAAGCGTGCCCAAGGCAAAAGGATTATTATACCCACGGCAGTAAGCACACAGTGGAAACACTCATTAATATCCTACTTACATACCTATAAGGGCTACAAATGGGATAGATAAAATAAGTGCAAGGTAGAAGAATGAAACTTGTTTGGTTGTCCTCCCTGAACCAAAAATGATCTCAGTAGTAAGGAATAATTCCCATAGCTTTATCTTGGTGTCTCTTAATGAATGAGGCCTTGCTGTGTGATTGGGTGTGGGTGTGTGTGTGTGTGGGGGGGGATTGGACATACAGATCATAGAGATTTGTGAAGGTTTAACGTTGTCATTATGCCGCTAATAAAGAATTTAATTTAACAGTGCTATCTACTGTTTGCTTTTCTCTGAACAGCACAAACAGATTATTGATGTATTACTGTTGACTTTAATAATCAAAATAAATTGCTGTTAGACCTGCAGGGTCAGTGAAGGTGTGCATGGTAGCAGCGTCACGGTGGATTCCTTCACACATCTGTTACACTTAAAAATAAGAAAAAAAATTCTTAGAGCAAGTCCTTATGGTCTGGCTAGACTTTGAAGCATTTTTTGTACATGCACACTTTCACTGTCATAGATCTTCCCAATTATTTGCCTTCTGATGCATCCATCCATCTGTTTTCTTCTTTGCTTATCCAGTTCAGGGGTGTGGGAAGCTGGAACCGAGTTCCAAATCTATAGTGAAATCAGATAGTATTTTCTTCAATGCTTTTTTTATGGTTCCTTTGGATAATTTGCTTTAGAAACATGTCTCATTTATATGGTATGAAGAGTATGTCTTTTGTCAACCATTTCAAAGCATTAATTTAAATAGCAGTTTTGGTTTGGGTGAAGAAATCACAAACTGCATGTGACAGTTTGACTGAACCATCGTGACTTTTCATCTGTTACACAGGTACCCAAAAATTAGACCTAAATGAAGATCAAAATATTAGCACACACACAAAAACTGGAGCACAGACTTCCTGGATGGTCTGTTTGTGTAGTTATCACACAGCAGGTCTTATTACTTGCAAGAAAATTACATTAAAAATGCTCCAACGACACAAACAAGGTCAAAGGGTGAGTTGTGGCAGACAGCTGGAAGCAAAGTTAGCACCTACCTGTCACATAAAGCAGGAAAACATAAAATAATGCATAACTTCAAGCCTTATTAAAATGTAAAATTATAGCTACAAAGGACAGTAGCTTTTGGCTAGGTCAGTATTTTAGCATCAGCGTTTATGAGGACTGGCTTGTTCTGAAGTCACCATCAAGTGGTAGATTATAGAAATCGGCACACACTGATTTGATTTAGTATAAACTTTCAGCTGCACTTCTATACTATTGTTTAAAAGTTCCTTAAAAAACATATTACCACCAGCCTAAGCTTCGCGTTTGGTCCTGATCACCAGATGAATATTTATAGTGGTGAAGATGGGAAACATGAGGCGTTCAAAACAAAGGCGTGTTAGCATTGTCGTTGTGAGCATGTAAGCATTTCAAAGTGACAAATGCGCTGCAAAGCATTAACAGCCCTTGAAAGAGAAAATCACATTTGCACTTTGATTTACATGCTGTACGCATCAGATTTCACACAGTTTCAAACAATCACCACTGTTTGTCAAACATAAGGTCCATCCAAGCTTACTTTGCAAAGCAAAAAACATTTTTCAAACTCTCCAGCAGCCATTGCTAATTAACTGAGGAGGGAAACAGCAATTAGAAATGTATAAATGCATGAATTCAGCACCATGGACAGACAGTTTCTGAGAAGCAGCAAAGGGAATCGCTTTAATTTTGTTTCTCAACAGCAGAGGTGCTAAGCTCCAGTTCTTTATTTGAACAAGCTGCCTGTCAGAGTGCCACGCTGACGTATCTTTGCTTGTGCACTTGCAAAACCTGACACAATTCTCTCGTGGCAAAATGGAAAACACTTGCAGCACAATGCCTGCTTCATATCGTCTGATGGGAAGATTAAAGCCAAGCCAAACAAAATTCGCTGTCTTCGGCTTGGAGTCGGTCGATGGCGAGACCACCAGAGGGGAACGACTCACTCAACTGCATATGTCATCAGATCACATTATCATTGATCTTTGTTTCCCAATCTCGTCCTCTGTCTGTCTTTACCTTCTCCAGTCTGCCCTGTGTGTTTTCCGTAACATTTCCCATGGCTCAGTGGTGCCTCTTGTCTCAGTGTGTGCGATAGTGTGATAAGAAACTGCAATGACTTCACCAGAAGAACATCCGGATTGAAGTGTGTAGAGATGCACTTCTTACATCAGTCCATTTTCTAACATTTTCTCAGCTGCTTATCCAATTCAGGGTTTGATAAGCAGTTGTGATTGGACAAAACAGGGCTGAGATACACTATTGCTAGAAAATAATGATACATATGTTTGGCTTTATACGACTGTTATTATACAGTAATACTAATAGTCATATACTGTACTCTTGCTGATAACCTCTCTTATTAGAAATAATGTGCTAGGGGCTATAGCGCTGGGTAAGCACTGCTAGTCTGATGTTGTACTTTTCTACTTTAATACTGTTTTAGCTTTCATTTCATACCCTGCTGTTTGCTACAATACCAGAGCCCCTCTAATGAAGTCCTCACATAAAGGAGCATCGTTCGGAGCAATCATTCAACAAATTCAGTGCTACAGTAAACAAAAATGTAACAGATGCTTTGACTGTAGCATCATGTGAAGTAAAGCTGTAGGTCTGATCTATCAGTTAACTTCAAACAAAGGACAGCGAAAGCAAATAATGAAATAAATATTTTGCCTGTTTGCCCTTTGCCTTTAATACACCACCGGTTCTCCATGATGCACTTTGCTTTAAAATTACTTGGCAGGTAAGTTGTTCCAAGAACTTGCCTCAGTTCTCCTGTGGATTCAGGCTGTCTCGCTTGCTTTTCTCTCTTCGTGTAATCCCAGACTGACTTAATGAAGCTGAGATCAGGCCTCTGCGGAATCCATACTATTTGATGCTGAACTCCTTGTCCTTTATATCACTGATAATAGATATTTATGACTCTCTCTGTGTATTTTTCATGCTACAAGGGTGAATTTAGGGCCAAAAAACATCTCCCATGCTGTATTACATGATGGATAAGAATCTAAACATCTAAAGGTCTTGAAAATCAAGATTTTTACAGTACAGCAGATAAAAAGCTAAAGAGATGACTGGCATATAAACCCTGTATTGGGCAATTGATTTTTTTTCTTTCTCCCTCACAGAAAAAAGGAGCTTTACTGAAAAACCCAGCTCTGATTCAAATTGCTGTCATTATGAATGCTAAAGGCAATCATCAATGATACGCCTTTCAGTCAAAATCCGTGTATATGTCAAGTCAAAACTGATTTTAAACTTTAAAAAAAAATTGAAAACAGTAAATTAATCATAAGCTTCTTTTGGTTAAAAGAATTTTGGGAACAATTGCGGCCATTTAAGTTTTTGAAATTAGTTGTTACGAAAACAAGATGTACAACACTCTTCCTGTCTCTGCTGTGGTCGCCAGGGAATCTGAATATCTCCAAATGCTCTCCATATGTCTGGCAACTTCAGTGATCCCTTTTATTTTGGTGTGCCAGGGTAGATGAGTTACATTCTCATCCGATGTGTAGCAAAGATGTTTTACTCAAGCAAATTACTGCACTAAAAATTCCAGGAAAAACCGAACAAAGAGGTAGATCTACGACTGTAGCGTGTCTAAATTTGGATTAGAAGAAGCTTGCCACTCGTTCAATCATTACCGCCAGCAGAGGAGCTTTAAAGTAAGCTATAATGATGCATAGGTGTGCAGAACAAAAAAAAAAAACAACCTCCTGTTGTTGAAAATCACTCTCTGATACAGGGTGTTGCTGTATGTGAAAGTGAGCGCTACATGTTATAATTGTTTATTTGTCTCTGTTCAGCTTGATGGCAGCGTGTCACGTCTATTTCCTGGATCTGTCTGTGAGGGAGTGATTCATGTGGACAGCAGCACAGATTGCGCTGGTGGCTGGTGATTACTCAAAATAGCTCTGCCACATTGTGCAAGTTCCCGTAGGCGTGCACGCGTAGAAGAGCGCTTGCATGAATGCCCTTAAATGTTTGTCCCCGTGTCTGTGCGCTAACAAAAAATGTCTGCTTGTATGTGTACATTCCTACCTTCATGTGCATACAGTCTGGGATCTGGCGAGTTTCTCTCCACCCACCCATGGTGGGCCTCTCTCAGCCAGATGGATGGTCTCAGCCAGTGTCAGCGAGGTGACAGCTGGCTGGCCTGGCCTCTCCTGGCCAAGGATCTGGATTCTATCCTCTGACAGCTCCTGATGGGTGACACGTTCCCCCCCCCCCCCCCCCCCCCCCCCCCCCCCCCCCCCCCCCCCCCCCCCCCCCCACACACACACACACATACACACACACACACCCCAAACCCACCCATGTGCTTGCTTCATGGAAACTCACGGTTTACTGGAGAAATCGGTGACGTCTCGCAGCATGCTTTAATGAAATGTAAATGATATGAGCCACACCCCGGTGAGACGACGCCTGAACTCTTAAGTGCTCTTAAGGAAGTAGCCACCCTACTGATGATTGACTAATTAGGGCTTTTTCAGCGGCAGTAAAACAAGTTTTACACAGGAAAAGAGTAATAGCTGTTCCACTCCAAACTGAAGTTAAGACAACAGGTCAGACTTCAGACTGCAAAGCAATAAGAACTTATGTACCGTGTCAAAAACCTCATTAGGTAAGCTGCGCACATCATCGCAAAATCTCATGAAAGTCATAATTTAGACTAATCCAGTGCTACTCTTTTTACTTCACACAACACCCGGCTCTCCCTCCTGCCTCTTCTGTTCTCTCGCTCTCAGCCTTAAGTGGCCTCAGTATCACAGTCCTCTCGTTTGAGAGGCTGGCAGTGTAAGCTGCAACGACCGGAGGAGTGCTGCTGTAACCGGGGAGGGTGTGCAGGATCTTTATAATGTGAGTGTGTGTGTCTGTGTGTGAGTCATTACATTCAGCTTCCATTCGGCAGGCTGCAGGCTTCAGCAGGACAGAGATGGCTACGCTAAACCAAGCCTGTGTTAATGAGACAGCTCTGCAGGGATGAGAAGAACACACACAGAGCAAGTTTGAAGACGTCTTCTGGCCTCCCAAAGGTAATTCCCTTAAATGAAAAGCAGACTGCATGCGAGTCATTGTTGCACCGAGGGGGTGAGGATGAATGGTGACAGGGTTGTATTTCAACACACCTCCCCACGGTCTTATGTCGGGCCTGAGATGAGTGGAGGCAGAGGTACCTTGTTCAGACACACCCTGCCGATGCTCTCCTTACCCAATTATCCTTGACTAGAATGACTTGTGTAACACTGGCTGTGTCACGCAGCTTTAGAATGGATTCTTTATCCTATCAAGGCCTTTTCATTTTTCAGATTAGGAGGCGCTCTTGCTTCCAACCAAGGACGCCAACAGGACTGAAGTACTCCACATCTGGGAGACATTAGGAACACATGGAAGAGGCTCATTTAAGGCTCTTGTTAGCTCACCTGGTGCTTTAAGTAGGACCATTAATATTGAGCTACTTAAAATATGAACAACCCTCTCTTCTCATGTCTGTTCGATGAGAAATTCTCAGTGTCCCTCAGTGTGCACCAGCATGTCCATTCCAGGCTTGCATCTCACTATCAAAGTGGCTCAAGCTGTGATTTGGAGCTAATGGGCTTTCCAGATGTTCTCCCTTGTATTTCATTGAATCCAACACCTCTACAGGCCACTGTCCAGCCATAAATCACAGGGTGCATGCTGCATGAGAAGAATGAGAGGATGTGGCTTGATGCATAAGTTACATGCTCGATTCATGAGCTCATTGCGAATATCTTCAGAACCCGAGCAGAACAATTAGCTGTTACCTTAACCCCAGAGGCCACAAAGTCTCTTAAAGGGCTTTGCTATCCCCTTTATAAGCTCTGAAGGCCCAGCTCAAAGCCGCAGGGACAGCAGAGCTTTATATGAATGATTTGGTTTTATGTGGTATTCTTGGATGACAGTCCACCACGAGTCACTGTTCAGTGTTAGCAACAATTCACGGCTTTATTTGGTTCTGCGAGGGAGCTTCAGGTCCAAGTGTCTCCGATTGGTTGGGTTGAACAGATGTCTGATAAAATGTTCTTCTCCCATCTATCCAGTGTAAATGTGCGGTGGTGGTTGTTATTAATCTCTGTAAAGCATCAGGCAATGTTTTCATTCCAACCGCTGAGCCAGAGCGAGGTTCCAGCAAGAATTACATCCATATCAATATTCAAAATGCTGGCTGAATTGAGCATTTAATCGCAAACACTCATGCATCCATTGTCCAGGTAATTAAATTATCTAATGGGCTATTTTTTTGTCCTCCGTAGCCAACATTATCCAATGAGAATCTCAACCCTGAGCTACGCTGAGGTTTTATTGCACAGACCCCTCGCTGATCCGAACTTTTCTGAATCCATACACAGAACAAATCACACAAATCTATGATGGTTATATTTCACTCCGAGTTTTCTCTCCAAGTGAGATTTGGTTACTGAGGCCTTTGGGAAATCATGCCATTTTAAATCTTTCTCCTTCCTGAAAGAATGTCACCTCCAACCCACTTTTTAAGCTTTTATAAATGACCACTGGCACGTCTAAAGTCTTTTAATATGCAATCCATCTGTTTTTTGCCTCATATACGGGAAATGAGCCGATCCATAATCTGTACCTGCGCTGGCGAGGTCATCCGACGCGGTGACGAGAATGACTGATCTGGTGTTAAGGTTTATCTTTCTATGAGATTTTCGCTTGGCTTTGATAGCCGAGAGGAATGATTCAATCAATGGAAAAAAAAAGGTGGGGGAGGAAAGAGATGTTTGTTTCCACTGATCCACTTCTCACATGGTATTAGACATTTCCCAAATAGCTCCCCACCCATCATATGTAATGGTGTGTGAATGTCAAGTCTTGTTTAACTGAGTGAGCATTTTCACACGTATGTTTTAACCTCTGTACGGTAAAAGAACCTCTAAATCATATTGGGGTTTTTTTATTATCAACTCTTATTAATAACAATTCTGTATATAAATTTCTTTTTGGCAAAACCTGCGATGATATAGTGATGTGTGAGCTCCATCCACTAAGCACTTAAGCTGTAATGAGTATCAAAAGCAGCTCCAGGTCTCCATAGTGACACCTCGAAGCTTGGCACTGTTGTCCCCAGAGAGCTGTGTGCCAATAATAAAGCCCAGAGCGGCTGCGCTGACTGTCAAAAGATCATCCTGTTATTTATTCTGTACAAATTACTTGCATATGTTCACCACCGCCTTGCCCTCAAGGTTAAAGCTCTCATCCGAGCCCAAGGAGGGATGAGAGAGCACAGTTGGCAGAGTGATAGATCTACTCTCAGCTGCAGCCGCTAAATGTTATTTCTCGTTTCCCATCCACACCTCGAAGCAAAGTCCAGGCACCGGCATAAATGAGTTCCACAGATATCCCTGTGAAATTTTGGCTCATTCTCGGCCTGTTTGCGATCACACCTTTAGATTCCGATTAAAGTCAGATCAGAAGTAACTCGAGAGAACACCTTCACACGGCAAATAATTACCGTCAATGTCATTTGCCTCAGTGTGATAGGAAGTGGGGGAAGTGACGAACTCTGGTTTTTCAATATCAAAGGAGAGGTTTTGGTTATGGGGATCACTGTGTGTGATGAGGGAGGGGGTGGCTGATAAATTAGGAAACTAAGTGGAGGAAGTAGTCCTGTGGTTCTACAAGGCAGCTGGAGATGGAAATCTGGATGCCATGTCCCCAGGTTTGCACAGGTCAGGCTGCTTTGTGGTTGGTACAGACACTAGACAGACTAACATTAGGCCCTTCTCTGCAGAAGACAAAAGTTGCAACAGCCATTCACATTCATCACAGGCCTCATAAATGTCAGCAAAGGAACTGCTGCAGACATGGCATGCAAAGGTGAATATAAACAAAAATAGGTCATAACCTGGATTCCATTACAGTACATAGTGTGGCGTCCTGCCCCAGCTTCCATTCGGGCTCTGCTGTTGCTCCACTTGCGTAACGTTGGCTAAAATGGAAGATCTATTTGTAACAGCCCTTTAATATATTATGCAAAGGTCATATGTAGGAAATAAATCAAAATCTTAGCTTTGCTTTGGCACCAGTTCAGGTAACGAAGTCAAAGACACCTTTGAACAACAGCACAGACTCTGAACCAGCAATAGCAAACACAGTTTTATTTCACTTCCGAGTTGTGTTCCAGGAAATTTTATGGCATTTCAGGTCACTGGCACTGTTTGTTAGAGAACTTTTCATATTTAATAAAAATATATTGATAGCAAAAGCCATTAATAAAAAAAATGGAGCACATTCGTCTCTTAAAGTCTGGGCGGTTCCACTGGGAATAGTATATCCACGTGTTCCTTTCCTTGACATTCTCCCTCACTTTTTAACAAGCTGGCAGCAGCACGTAAAGCCCTCCTCGTCTAGAACAAGGTTAATGCAACTCTTCTGATCAAATTCTCAGAGGAATTCTCCTGATCCAAACGTAAATCCGACTGCAAGAAAAGTAAATTAAAAAGTAATCTTCATATCATGTATGGAGGCTTCAATTCCTAAAACCAGTCTGGATACAGACTAATCAGTTATACTTGTTTTTATATGAGCCAGTTATCCCCTAAATGGATCCTAATTCATATTCCACTGTATCAGGTGTCAGAAAATCCTTACTTTTCTTTTGTTCTTTCATGTTTCAAAACTCATTTCCTCATTGTAACACGATTGCTTTCCTGACTAGGACGTACCGATTAAAATAAACACTTTGATGGGTTGCTTTTGTTTTGAAATATGGATCTATTACAAATGGGCTCCTGACAAATAAACACATGCCTGGCTTCCCTAGAGGCTGAGAGGGGCTCAGATGGAAAACAATGCCATAGCGATCATAAAAGAGAATAGAAAATCCTCTGCATGTCATGCGCTCCTACCATATCCATCAGCTTGAACGAGCTGTTTTAGAAAGGGTGGACAAAATATACACATCCCTGGATTTGACAAGGAATTATTCTAACCTCCACTGGAGAATAAATCCACCCTCTCCTAATCCTGTGGTAACTGCTGCTCACATGACATACCTCATACCCGCTGAAGTATTTTACAGATTCTTTCTTGTTTTGCAACATGTCATGCTTTGAAAATCTGTGTCCATATAATTTCATTGTAAAGTCAACAGATTGTGGTTTTAATCCCAACATTCCACAGCATTGTGGTGCTGTCTCCCTCTCTGTTTTAAGCGATGAAGGAGGAGATGGCACGGTAGTTGTTTTATTAGTATCATGGATGGATGACCAAACAGGCATACGTCTGTTTGAAGTGGCACTTGAAGCTTCTTGTTGGAAAGTCAATCAAATGAAGACAAACAAGGGAAAAACATGGAAAATGACCAAAAAAGAGAATGGAACAAAGACATGAAAAATTGCCACAATAGCAGCAAAACAATAATGCTGCTATTTATAAAATATAGTTCAGCATTGCCAAGAACTGGGGCTTACAATTTAAATTTTCCTACCCTTTTGCTAATTTTACAAATATACTCTTTTCTAGAACCTTGCTTCAGTCTGGGGACCCTGATTGAAAAATTTCTACCTGTCACTGGTCTCCTTTAGAAAAACATGTGTTTGGTGCTGTTTTAAGCGGTGATTGCATGCAGCTTGATGTCCAAAATCCATGACCCTGAGCAAAGCTCTAGTCATTTGAATCAGAGCTTTCACTGGAATCTGCTGCAGTCACAGAGGAGCTGGACTCAACTCACCTCTTCTTTTCCTTGGACTTAACAATAAGTATGTGCCAAGGGACAAATATGTTTTTTTTCTTTTACTGCAAATCTTGGATATGATTTTTTTGTGCAAATTTAAAGTTGTTTTCATTAACTCATCACAGGGATGGATGTCATGATAATTTTGAAGCTATTAGTGATTCCATTAGACTTTTTTCTTCTCCCAGGGTGGAATACTTGTACAGCATAGATCTTCAGTGACTTAAAATCTTCTCTAATCCAGACAGGGTTCAAACACATCCACTAATAGCAGGTAAAATGTCCCTTAGCAAGTTGCACCTCAACCAGATGCTTTTA